ACAATGTTTCGCTCTCAAAATCAAAAGGCAAAGACAAAATACCAGTGTTAACATAAAAGAAAAAAAGAAAAGAAAGTTTATTTGTAAACCAAACAATTTGTGAACATCAAAAGAAATGCTTTCTTCTTTAGAAATAAATAAATAAATAAAACTTGTCAACTTGCAAGTAAGACTGAAAAGGAAAAATAATGAACAGAGAGAGAGAGTAAAAAAAAAAAAAAAAAAAAAAGGATATTTTATAAAATTATAACAAAAGAAATTTCAAACCAAAAATGGCAGATTGTGTGAGAGATACATTCTTGATTAGAAGCTGCCCTTATATCGTTTCTACAAATCTTTTTGAACCTATGTGCTGACATGTGGCAACAGGTCGGCATCTTCCTTGTGTGTTGGGAGGAGGAAAGCAAATGTTTTTGAATCTTTTCAGAATCTTGCCTATGAGTTTGTTTTGCTTTTTTTTCTCTCCCCATGAATAGTAATGTACTTGGACTGACAAACATCTTGACAATTGACATTAAAATGGATAAAAAATAAAAATTCCTGATTTTAGTGTTTTTTCTTTTATCAATACACCAGAAAGAATTGTCAAATATGTCAATTGCATTTTGTTTGTGCACAAAAGTTATGATTATCATTGCATGAAAGTAAAATAATTTCACGTTAAAAGAAAGAAAACATGTAGTTTTGATGTCTATCCTAATTGTCCTAGAAATATTTTACATTTTTTTTTAGTGTGAAAATATATTTAACATTTTGTAAATAAAGTGTCATTTAAGCATTGAACAATTTTATTCTAAATTCTAAACATGTTCAGTGCTACATTTTTCTTTTTTTTTATGTGTTGTCCAAGAATTATTGGAAGAAAAAAAAACATTCATTATTCATAGCAGAATACAAAGAACAAAATGAAGATGACAATAAAAAAAAAGAAAAAATAGTATTTTTTTATGGAATTAACATTTTTTGGCATTGAATGTGTAACTAATTATATTTCCTATTAGCAAACAAAATGCGTACAGATTTGTGAAGACTATATTTTGAATTTAAAAAAAAAAAAAAATACGTGTAACGAATCTTTAACAGTTTTCTGAAATTTTTGAATTGGAGGGAAAGAAAAAAAGAAAGAAATCATTTTCTTTCTAAACATTATTCCAGCCTTTATTATTTCAGAGCATTTTTAGTTTAAAAAAAAAAAAAAAAACCCAAAAAACAAACGAATGTGAGACTGGTGTCTTGGCCCCACTCTGCAACTAATTAACTGTTGAATGTTACAGCAACAGTTGAGAAAAAAAAAAAGCATGAGGTTCTTGTGTAACAAAGAAAGTAGTGTCTTACCTTGCCAAATAAAATGCTCACTCTTTCACTAATAGTGCTCGGTAACTCATACAAATTCTGTCTGACTGTGTCCATCTCAAGGCTACATAAGTTCAGACTTTTTTTTTTTTTTGAGAGGCATGCATATAATTTTTTTGGTAGTTAAATTCAGGGATTGTCTGACATATTTTGTTACACTTAGAAAGAAAAGAAAAATTTAAAATCAATCGTTTTCCATTGTATCAATAAAAGGAACAAAATAAAGACAGTTAAATATAAGCACCAGTTTTGTTTCTTTTTTAAACAATAAAATCTCTCTCCACCCACTTAAATATACATACAAGTATTGATCAGTTGAAGGAGTGGATGATTAATGTTCTAGTCTTCGGTTAATATGTTATAGAATTAGATATTAAAAAATACTGAAGTAAAGAAATTGGTTCCATTCAATTTTTGTTTACCAAAAGTAAAAGGGAAAAAAATATCAAAATGGAGAGAATAAAAAACAGACATTTTTGTAAAATGAAAAAAAAAATAATTTACAGTAAATCCAATCTTATTAACAATGGGTTGGGATAAAAATTATTTTTTATAAACATTTGTCAAGGCCATTTGAGAAAAACGTTGATATTTATTGAATCCTGTTAACTTTTGAGCACTCAGTGAGGAACAGATTCATTAGCAACAATTCAAAACATTTCTTTTAATGTCAAAACACTCATCAGCATTAAAATGGTTGGATAAAAATAAAAAAAAAATTATTTACTACTAAAAAAGAATTTCTGAAATTAAATATTTTCATTGTTCTAGGAATTTTTCAGAATGGCATCTGTTGTCTTTGCATGCGTGGGTGGTGTTGTAAACATGCCTTGAGGAGGTATAAAGAGACAATGTAAAAGAAACAAAAAAAATCATGGAAGAGAGTGCCAAAGTTCAGGCTTACTCTGGAAATTAGGGAATCCTTGTTGAGGAAATGAAAACAAAAACAAACACAGTAGAAAGGTGATAAAAACAATAAAAAAGATTAAAAAACCAAAAAAAAAAAAAAAAGGATATTTTTCAGAATTCATGGAATAATGATAACAGTTCTTCAGATAATATGAGAAAATTTGCCAAAAGAATATGAAAATAAAAGTCAAATATACTTGTCCAAATAATGTGTGGAATTATATCATTAGAAATAAGAAATATTGTTTACAAATAGTAGGAACACTTAATGAAAATAAAATATTTCCTTATATTTCATGAAAGCAGCATTTGTCCTGAAGAACTGAAGATTAAGAAACAGCAAATGATTACAAGAATTGCTTGCTTGTCAAATTTAGAAATTAAGTAAAAAAAAAAAAAATTATGAAAATTCCACAAACATTTTCATTTAATTTTAACATTAATTATTTTAACATTAATTATTTTAATATTAATTATTTTAATATTAATTATTTTAATATTAATTATTTTAATACTTCATAAAATTGAGTTTAAGTTTATAAATATTTAATTGGATTTTACGCAAATCTTTAACAATTTAAAAAAAAAATGTGCAGACATCAAGATAAATGAGTTTTATTTTTTCTTCAGGTTTTAAATAACCCATATAAAATATAAAAATTTTATAGTAATGAGGTTATAACACAAAAAAAGTTTTTTTTCACAGCTGCCAAACAGAAAGGAAAATCTGCAACAACCAAATTTCATGTATCAGAAAAGACCAAAATTAAAAGGAGGCACACTCTTTTAAAACATATGGAAAATATAATAATCAATTTTCATTTTGAACCTTTTGTATTCTGTTGTATTTCACTTTCGGATTAAAAACTTCCCAAGTATATAATTTAGTGGTGGATGAAGTCAAGAGTGAAATGAATATTACCTGAATAATTGTTGATTTATACAAAGTTAATATTAAAACAATATGGAATTTAATACAGCAAAAGTAAATACTACACCAGCTTTTGGTTTTATCAGATTACAAGATGCATTCTTTTATATTTTGAAAGAAACGCTGTCAGGTATAAAATAGGCAACTAAGAATAACTTGGTTCTTTCAGTAAAAGATAAATAACCCATTTTTTTTTTTAACAGGAGTAGAGGTTTATTCCTTATTTCCTGTTTAGGATCAAGTCTCCAATTCCTTCTAAAATCTTTTCATTCTATTTCATTCCCAGTAGCCCCTTGAGTCTTGGTGGCGTATTGATTAATATATATATGTGTGTGTGTGTGTGTGTGTGTGTGTGTGTGTTTTTAAAAGCTTTACGATATAGATATTCCAAAAAAGAAACAAAGCATTTGCAAGGGAGATAACTTCCAAAAGAGTTGTGTCCCATGCGTCGTAAATCTTTTTTACTCGCGATATGGACATGTTTCTTTCCAACAGAAATACTTTCATTTCAAATAATTTTGGATAGACATTAAGAATGGGAATAAATAATACTGAAATTGTGAAATATATATATATATGTAAAAACAGCCAAACTTAATTCTTCTCTAAAACAAATCACTGACTCAGTAGCTATTGGTTTGTGTAATTAAAGTTTCTTTGAAATTTAAACCCATTGTTGGATAAAAGGTTAAAATTTCTTGGAATATACTGAAATTAACAATAATTTAAAACAGCAATTAAGAAAATGGTTAAAACTCCTGTACACGGATGTACTTTTGCGACCATGAAGCAGAGTTCCGTAAATAAATGCAAATTCTTTTATCAAAATGATGACTTTGCTAAAATATTTGTTATTTACAGACAATATAAAAAAGGCAGTGTTGGTCCACAACTTTTTGATGGCAAAGCATATGACAAAACCAACTGCATAAATGGATAAAAAATAGAGTAATTAAGAATTACATATGTTGGAGTAACAGTGTGTCAATAAAAAAGCATCAACTGTTTTGTTCCTTCAAGAACATTTTAATCAATTAATTCTTTAACCATATTTTGCAAATATTTATAAGAACCAATTACATCTGAATTTATTCAAAGACAACAAAGGTTGTTTTAGTTTGGGGTTTTGGACAAAATATAAATCTGAATATCTACAATCCCAAACCAGTTTCTGCAATTCCATTTTTGTATGACCCAGTTGAATTAAAGGAATCATAGTCTCACTCCGATATGCAGCAATTTTTCTTTTTTTCATTTGAGGAAACAAAATAGTCAAAAAATGCTAATACCACTCTTGGGTAAAGTTTCTAAGGATTTGGTGAGATTGCAAATAACAATTATTAAAAAATAATTTTCATAAAAACAAAACCCAATAGAAATTTGATGATAGCTGGGACAAATCTGGATAAAATAGTGCTTAATGTATCACATGCATCCTTAAACCAAATTGCCGTAAGTGGTTTAAATTTCAGGTTTTATAAATTGTTTCTTGCACTCAGCAAATATTAATCTTTGCCTATTACAGAAAAAAAAAAACATGAGAGTAAAGAAAAAAAAATCTCTCCTTTAAGTAACCCAATTATATGTACTTATTTCCAGGTAAAATATTAAAAAAAAATACACTAGAATTGATTCCACTTGTTTAAATAAAAGTAAAACTCAGTAAAATAAGCCAATTTACAAGTCGAATGTTTTTTTGGCATCAATCTGAGAAAAGTCATTGACAACAGATTTATTCAAGTGATTTTTCTGTGTTTTTTCTCTCTTCACATTTCAAATAAAAATTTTAAAATAAAGAATCCCTATTTCAATAATCTTGGAGTATTTTGATATTGCTGTATAAATCCAAAGAATTTGGATTTGCCAACACACCTCGATGAGTCACTTGATCACCACCCAGAATTCTGCGGACAGCTATTTCCACTTTCTTCCCATTCATTGTATACTGTAAAGAAACAGAAAGAAAAAAAAAAAAGAAAGAAAGAAAATGTATGAAATGTTTCACATCTTCAAATTAAGTAATCATTTGGATTTTGTAAACAAAAACATTTGAGAGAGAAAGAGAAAAAATCTGCTGAGTGAGACAAGTAGAATTTCTTGTGATTGTGAAATTTCCATAAATTTAAGCAGTCAATCAGAATGTTCTGCCATGGAGCAATGGTTAACAACATGGTTTAGTAAATTTTTTTTTTTTGGCTGTAGGAAGTTTCATTAGAAAATGGATTTTAGGACAAATTAAATTAAAAGAAAAAGTTAAACAAAAGTAAGTCTGCAAAAGTTGTTTATGGTTGATGGCATAGAAGATGAAAATATGAAATAAATTTGGTGGAGAAATAAAAATCATGTTAATGAATGAGGGAAAATGCTTCCAATATTTTATTCTGATGTCAATATATGAAGTTTTTTTTTTATGTCAGATAAAGTCTGTATAAATAAAATGACAAATATGTCCTTGGTATTTTACATTTTCTTGCTTGAATAGAAAAAAAAAAATCTTTAAAAAAAAAACAGAATTGTGGATGTAAAAGGTTAAAAAAATAAAGACGCTGAAAAGATTGTTAAAAAATAAGAAGTTGATTTTCATGAGGATGTAATGGTGGAATAAAGCACAACTGAAATGTAATTTTGTTGCTAATTAAGCAAAAAGATGTTGCAGGCATAAAATTACTGAAAACTCAACATCATAAATATTTTCTGAAATTCATTGTCCTTGTTCTGTCATCTTCACCAAAATGACAAAGTTTGGTTGAATAATTTGAGTCAATTGTAAATTTACTTCACGTGGCAATTCATTGCAGAAACATTCCAATATCAAATAATGTTATAATTTTGAATATTTCTAAAAATCAAGAATGACGTTTACTCACTGGGATGTCCTCAATTGGCAGTATATGAGCAGGAACGTGTCGAACAGAGAGATCAGACCGAATACGATCCCGGATTTTTTTTTCCAACTTCCCATTGAATTCCTGTCCTGGGGCCATCTTGATGAACAGAATTGCTCTCTCGTCAGATCCGTCTCTCTTCCGTTGAGCCACGCACAGACTGTCTTCCACTTCTATGATTGCCTCCACTAGGAAAATAACAGAATACACTAAAATTTTACAAGCCTATAATGTTACAAATGACCACAGTTACATGACTATCAACTTGCATAAATGGATTTTATGTTTTGATGAAAGCAAGAAATTAAATCAAAATTTACAAAATGTAAAATGAGCCATCATTCATATCACAAAAGCACAACCTTTATCCTCAGGTGATCATGCTGTGTATAAGGTGTAATTGAAAGAATTTTCTACAAGGAGTTCATTTTGAAGTACCATACAATTTGAGCAAACACTGATCTGATTTTTTTTTTTTATAAATCAGTATCACCCCATGCAAGGTAGTAAAGCCACTAAGACACAAGGGATTACAGGGTGTAGAAAAATTAGGAAAGGAAACATTAATAATGAGTAGGAATAGAAAAAAAATAATCAGAAGGCCTGTATATAGCGAATGACATTGCATTTCAATTTTTGCAGATTAAAGTTGGCTGGAAAACATGGAGCTGGAAGGGAGTTCCACAAGTGAGAAGTGTGACAAAAGAAACTGTTAGCATATAACTTGCGGCTACATCAAGCCAGCTCAATTGTAAATTGATGAGATCTTGATACCAGTGTAGAACTGCGCTTAAATTCATAAAGTCTACATACCATAGTGAAGAGCTCATCTGTACAATTAACATGAAAGTATTTATAGAAAAGACAGAGAGGTAACTTTACAGTGGTGGGAAAGTGACTTAAGCCAAGCTGCTAGATTAGGACCAATAATATTGCAGATTCTTCTTTGGATTTTATCAAGGAGCTTAAAAGGTAAATATCAGGGACATCAGGCCATATGTGACAATAATATTCTAAGCATAGACAAATGGTAGACATATAAATATGTAAGATAGCTAGTGGAAAGAAAAATTTTCTTGCACGACACAGTGAAACAACTTTCTTACCAGCTGACCTTGCAATCAATTCAATATAGTCTTTCCATTTCAGGTCACCTGAGTACATTAGCCCAGGAAAGTGTGATGAGTCACTTTTCTGGAGGTTAGCATTAGCCATGCTGATGGAAGGCAATGCAGGGTTTTTCAGATGATTAATGCAGAAAAGTTTAGTTTTGGAGGTGTTAAAATTAACCAACCACCTTTTGCTCCAGTTAACAATGGATCTGAGGTCATTTTGGTTATCGGCTGCCATTTTAACCTTGTTGGACTGATCAGCCTTTCTATCAAGGCAGGAATAAATGGTTGTATCATTAGTGTAGATACCAAGTTGAGAGCTAATGTCATCAAAGTCATTAATGAAAATTAAAAATTAGATTAATTGAAGCAAGAGGTGAAAAGTTCCTAAAGTAGTCAAGAAAAAAGGCATATAACATCAAGACACCAACAGATTGTAGATTTCTATAATTTCTCTAAATTTCAGAGTTTGCCTTGAAAGTTTTTGGTAGACACTGGCACCGTCGATTACCATTTATTCTGGTCTTTACAGAATTCTCACAATGAGAAACAAATTCATTTTCCTTGAAGACTGCAAAAGGAACCTTGAGTAATTTTTTCTTGAGAAATACAAAGTTCTAATGATACAGAATTATAAAGTAAATACAAAGTGTAGGGAGAGATCATAGCATGAATCATTCCTTCAAACCTGGCCCCATTTGACCTGAACCATTTTTTTTTTTTTTTAATGGGTTTCTTGGTCTGGCCAATAACTTTTTAGCAACCACTTTTATGTTGTTCAATAAAGGTTGAAAAAAATGAAAACAAGTTTCATTTCCCATTTCATAACCCAAACAAAATGGCAAAAAGCAAAAAAAATTGTTCTTTTTCATTCAAACTCACCAATTTGGTAAATTTCTGCACTTCCAAATCGTATTCCATTTGGATTTAAAGTACCATCACTGAAAGAAAGAAATGATCTGTCTATATCTCTGAGATGAGGTATTATGATTATTTACATTATTCGGTGGATAAAAACGTTGGTTCGATCCTGTGACTAGACCCAGAGTTGTGTGTTCAATACCAGGCTACAACAGAGGTGAACCAAAAAACTTAGAGAGTTGAGTTGAAGGGAAATAACTGAGACATCCGGAAGAGGCATAGCACATGGAACTAAAACAATTTACCCTGGTGGACAAAATAAAGGGTTCAGTTTGAAATTCTAATCACCTGAAGAAGGCCAAAAGGTACAACGGCTGAAACGTTGTGGATATGGCAATGAAGTTGAGGATAACAGTCTGAATAATGTAAATAAAGAAATGAGATTGTTGGTTCTGTTCAACTTTCTCTGGTCTCCGCACAAAACAACAAGACAGAAATATTTTAACAATAAAAAAAACAAAAAAACAAAAAAACAAAAAACACACATGTAAATCCTTTTACAATTAGAAACAGCAGAGGTGAGGTTGAATATAATTGATCCATAACTGTAAAATACCACCAGTGATGAAAAAAAAAAAAAAAGCAAACAAATAAAAAGTAAGAAAACAAATAAACAAAAAAAAAAAAAAATAAATAAATAAAAAATAAAAAAATAAAAATAAGCAGACTTGCCTTCGTCCCAACATAACAATCCCTTTTGTACTTGGTTTGATGATACAAAAATCTCCTTGGACCCAGACACCTGAAAAGAAATAACAGAGTTAGTGTCAGAGTTTGTAGCAGATTTATATCTGGTGATACAAAATGTCAATACTTAACATCATCTGAGATCATAAATATGGAGCGGGGGTTATATATACATATATATATATACAGTGTAACCCGGATATAAGAGAGTTGTCGGGAGCGGAGAAGAAGTCTCTTATATCTGGGTTTGATCTATTTTATATACATTAACACAGGCTCTAATTTGGGACCAGAAAATCTCTCCTATATCCAGGTTACACTATATATATATATATATATATATATATATATATATATATATAAAAATTGTGTTCTAGCTTTCATGGATATAGATAGATATATATTGATGTAGACAGTGTGAACCAACCTAAGGAATCAAAACTGTATTGTGACTGTCAGTTTCACATTTCAAGTTATCTTCAAACTTAGTCTGAAGATCACTTAATGTGTGAAACTTACAGACATCATGCAGTGTTGATTCTGATGTCCACACTGCCTACATCTATAAATGGTCTATCTGATCTTGAGCCCTCAATTTTAAACTATGTGTAAGAAAATATTTAAAATAAAAACATGTAGGGAAATTAAATTTTTATTTGTATTTTAGAAAAAGTAATGGCATCTTCAATAGTGTAAAACTATTCTTAGATTTCAAACTGTTTTGCATATTAAAAAAAATAGCAGAAAATTTATGAGAGCTTAGAGAGACAAAAATGAAACAGATTTAAAAAGGGAAGAGTAAAAAAAAGGCCTTACCCTCAAACTTGGAGAAATAAGCATTTCTGTATTTGACATGATTAGGATCATTCCAGAAACAAACTGGCATGGAAGGGAACGGCTTTGTACAAACCAATTCTCCATGATCACCAAAAACAGAATGTCCTAAACAAAATTCAAACAAACAGGTTATTGCAGCCATCTTTGTTTTGACTTTATCACAGAAAAGTGACTTTGCCACTGGCATCGAATGCTTTTATTTGGAATGCAGGATGCCATGCTTCTTCCTTCATAACAAACAAATCAATCAATCAAACTCATTAAATTTGAGTAGTGTCAAAAAAAAAAAAAAAAAAAAAAAAACTTCACAAAAATTAAATACATATTGTCAGGAAAATATTTTTGAATAGATTTATTTGCTAAAAGCTAAGAAATCAGTTTTAAAATAATATAAAAAGAGGAAAAAAAATAGTGAAATGGATACAAGTTTGTTGTCCTTCAAATGGATACAAGTTTGTTGTCCTTAAAAAAATGCTGAAATTTTGAATGAAAATGTTTAATCCTGAACATTTATATATTGAACTTACACTTATTCCATTAAACACTGGCTTGAACATGATTTGCGCATGCACATGTATATAATAAAAAGGCTTAAACACGAATATTAGTGTTTAAGCCTTTTTATTATATCCTTACTCTTCTCATCAATGGACTTTGGATGCAAAAATCTGCAGGCAAAATAAAAAAAATCTACAGGAAAAAACTTCAAAATCGTCAGCAACATATTTCAAAATTTGTGGGCTGAGCAGAAGGAGTCATATTAGTTCTCAAAGTGACCACTAGGTCATGGTGGTGGCTGGCCTTTCAATTGTAAACAAAGACGGGTGTACAGTATATGAAAATATGTGTGAGAAAATAGTTGTTAGAAATCTATTATTTTTGTTATTTTGACTAATATATCTATATTAAGTACATATTTATTTATGTCATATATACATATTTATAGTATTTACATTATGATCATAACTATTGGTAGTTACTATAGTGGTTTAATAAAACAAAAATAATCCCTTCCCATTTACAGACAATCGGTATATATTATAAACATTATAAATTTACTAATTTAAAAATATGGTCCCATTGCTACACAGAAATTACCATGTTTCAAACAGAAACTAAAAATTCTAAATTTAATTATAGAATTAAATTAAAATCCTTAGTACTGTTTCATTTTCAAGCAATTTTTGGATTCCAAAAAATCTAAATTCTACATTCAACACCATCACTTGATAAGACAACAAGTGTTGAAATAAAATGGCTATTTCTGTAGTGATTTTTATAAAATGTTTATATTATAATTTTCAATTAATTTATATTTATATATATATATATATATATATATATATATATATATATATATATATATATATTAAAAAAAAAACATGTCACCTTGAGTGACTTAAAATTAGTTCCATCAATACCAGAATTAAACAGTAACAGTTGCAGAAAATTGCATGCCATACCTGTCAAGCACAGGTAGAATTATATGGAACTCACAGAGGTACCCACAATGTTGCATATAAGGACCATCTTATCTGAACGACAGCCCTGGGGATCATGAACAATAAATGGGCTACGCTGTGCTGCCCAACTTCTTTCTGCAGGATCTCAAGGTCAATGCCATTGCTGACAAGATGCTGGACACCAACTTGGTTGGTGGTGGTGAGGATTATTAAGAACATTATTAAGAAGCGATAATAATAGAAGAGTAATCAGGAAGACATTAGATAACAATTGATATTGTATTTAAATTTTTGAAGATCAAAGTTGGCTGCAAAGCATGAAGCCAGAAGAGAGTTCCACAAGTGAGACAAGAAACTGTTAGAATAGACTGTATGGTTACATCTAGCCAATTCAATTATGAATTGATAAAACCTTGTTGTCAATCTAGTACTATGCTTAAATTGATACAGTCTAGGTATTGTAGAGAAAAGTTCAGTGAACAATTACCATGAAAGTATTTATAGAAAAGGCATGGCGAAGTGACATTACAGCAATGGGAAAGTGACTGAAGCAGAGATGTGTGTGTGTGCATGTGTGTGTGTGTGCACACACACACGCACATATACACAATCTTCCAGAAGCTTGAAACATCTTAATATTGTGGTATGAGGGAGTGTGTATAAAGAATGGCAGAGACTTTTCATTTTCTTGCTAAGATGATTTTCTTTATAGACCCCTTTTTTGTTTTTTCTTTATTGGGGCAGGATTAGGATAAATCTTGCACAAAGCAAGGTGGGAGGCTCCCTGAGAGAGGATCTCATAATGATTTGAGGCAATATTTTTATAAGGTTGGATGCTCTTCCTGTTGCCCAAGTTGGACACACATGGTAATCCAGGTACACTGAGAGTTTTTATCAAGACATCATCTCTAAGAAAGTTGCAATTCAAGGCTTAAGACCTCAACACACACACACACACACACACACACACACACACACACACTGTTGGCCCCCTTTTAAGAAGCTCATCAACCCTTTGACAGGTTTTTTTTTCATCCTGCAGTGTGACATGCCACCCTTCTCACTAGCAGAAAAGCTAGTGGGAGTGGGGTGCTGCTTTAGGCACTGACTACTCATCTTTGGAAATCTATTAAGATTATCACATTAAATTACAAAATCTTGATTTTCGCTTTTTTATAAGAGGAGGGGGTTTTATGCAACAGTAAAACTGATGTTAAAAATGTGACAGGCGTGTGGGGGATGGTGGGGGGTATTGGTGGAGAACCTGAAAGTAGAAGACACATGATTTCGTTCACTTACCATTTTCGTCCCAACTCTCCATCGAGCAACCCAAATTAAAAGACTGCACTTCTCCTTTGCAGACAGGCACCGTCCAATTTTGACCCATGAAACAAGCAATAATGTCTGTTCCACCTGAAAGTTAAAAAAAATGCATATCAAGGGTTGCTGAAGAGTTTTTAGCACAACCAATTTCTCCTAAATCTGACCAAGTAACTAACCTTTTTTTGGAAGAGCTTTTAAGACAGTTTAAGAACTTTTCTTCATCCCCTCAGATAGCTTAATTATTACTTGCCCTACTTCTACCGAGTGCATTCTACTCAGCCCAGGGATTGAACACTCAATTACTATGTCACCAATTTTTAAACTAATAATTAAATCCATGTTCAGTTCAAAATTCCTTTAAGGTTATGTAGATTAACAACAGCTGAAATGTGATAAAGATGAAGACATTATTCCGAATGTTAATAATGGGTTCTACCCTATGAGAGAGGGGAAAAAAAAAAGAAAAAAAAAAGAGAACTTTTATAGCAATGCAATAAAAAGCCTTAATTTCAAATTACAATATTGGAAATTAAAATTTGCCTCAGAGTAGAAGCTTAATAAATTCAATGTACTGAAAAAAAGCAATGTCTTTTTTTTTTTTTTTTTTTTAAATATTTAAAATGATTTCAGCTTAAGAAAAACAAAATTCCATAGAAACTTTTTTCTCTCAAGAACTGCTATGGCAAAAAAGCATTAAAGCCTCAACCGGACCAACCTGATATAGATGCAAGAAGGACTTGATTCTTGATAAATTCATAGACATACTCATAACTTTGAGGTTTTAGGGGTGAACCTGTGGAGAGTATCATTTTCAAAGAATCCAGTTTGTGGGTTTCCACTGAAAGAGAAAACAGAGAAAAGATTTCTATAGAAAGAATTGATCAAATCTTTGGTAAAACTAAAATGCAATGCTGCATTCCGAAAGTTAGGTCATACATTAAAACAGGTTTTGAAAGAATTACATAATTTTTCACTGAAGAAACAATTTCCATGTCTTTTGGAATTTACTAAAAAATATAGTATAATAAAAATTAAAAATGAAAATATTTCAAATCGTAGTTAAATAAAACGTATTCTAACCTAAACACCTCCAAAAATCTTTAAATTTACAAATAGAAAAAAAATGCCGTAAGAATTTTTTGCCGTTAACAATAAATTTAAAAAAAAATCCAGATGACATGCATTCAACGGATGTCAGATTTCATTGAAAAATACATCCCTATCCCTTACCAAAACGTAACTAAAAAACAGATACAATAATACAGACATAATGAACACCCAGACACCCCTTGTCCAGTTGAAGTAGATTTATCTGTAACCTCGGAAACGTGAATTATGATTTTAGCTGTGTCTTTAAAACCCAGTAATTTTAAAAGTTACTCCAAAATTCACTTGAGGATGAAATGGAACTAATATCTTTAATTTAATTACAAAATTAAATTCGTAGCTTTTAGCTTCCATTTTTGAAACATGGTTAGAACTGTGTAGCGAAAAAAAAAAACATTTTAGATAAATCAATTTATAATATTAATGCTCTGTAAATTTACATTGAGCACTATTTTGTAAAAAAAAAAATATTGATAAGAACACCGGATTCTATATCTTACTGTTCTTTCTTTTTATTTATATATATATATATATATATATATATATATATATATATAAATAAATAAAAAGTAGTCATACTTAGAACTTGACCCCTGGTTTAGCAAGTTCAAAATGTTTCGTTCCATCACACTTTGGGGAAGAGAACCAAACAACAATATTAATCTTGAAGAAATTTACAATAAAAGAAATATCAATAATTCCCAAACACCCCAAAAAACAAATTCTTTTTCTTTTACCTGGCTTCACATTTTTCTCTTCTAACAAAGACAACCATTTTGCACTTGTGCCAAAAATAGTGATTCTAAGGAAAAAAAAAAAATCCTCATTAGAAAACATTTAAATTTCAAGGAAAATAATACAAATACAAAAAAAAAAAAAAAAAAACCTTTGTATAAAAATGTCAGAGAAAAGTAGAGAATAGTTTGCATATTTTTGTTCAGTGTGCTCTCTAACATTCCTCATTGACAGTGACAAAATGGATTTGTAAAGACCTTTTGTTGTTTGCCAAGTTGTCAGTTGCCTTTTCAAAATTATTGCATTTCACATGTTGGGTTTTATGAATGTTTTTTTTTGCTTTTAAATAATGAAATATATTTGTGTTTTTAATGCTCAACGCCTTGAAAATGGCAAGTGTTAGAAAAAAAAAGTACTTTTATTTTATTTACCAATATCAACCACAAATCAAAACACTTATTAGAAATAGCAAAAAAGGAAAAGAAAAAAAAACTTTTGCTGGTTTTTAATCAAACATATATCCACACTATATATATATATATATATATATATATATACACACACACACGTTAAATATAACAGATAATGAATGTCTATTATGTTTGATCATTAGCTATTCTAATCTTTGTATAGTTGCTTTAATATGAAGATTAGAATGGTTCATGATCAAACATAATAGACATTCATTTTGTTATATTTAACAATATATGTTTGAATAATGATCTGCTGACCCAATATACTAAGTGTGTGTGTGTGTGTGTGTGTGTGTGTGTGTGTGTGTGTGTGTGTGTGTGTGTGTGTGTGTATTCATATATAAAAAACACAATATTAATCTGAGAAGCAACATTTTTTTTCTCTTGACATCATTTTTTTTTTGTTTTATTGAATTGTAAGAATTTGGAACAAGGCAATAAGATGAGATTTCTTAACCTAAATTTTCTACAAATTTGACAATCAAAGAATAGAAAAAAAAAAAAAAAAAAAAAAAAAAAAAAAAATAAGCCAATTTATATTTTGTGGAATAAAAAAAATATCCAAATTGACTGAAAGAAACTTTTTTTTTCTGACCTACAAGTTTTTAAAATTGTAAAAAATACACTGTCACTGTGATAATATGTAGAAAAAATATATCTCAATGCAAACTAAATACTACTGATAACATGAGCATAAAAATGGTGTAGGGCTTGTAAATTATATTGGGTCAAAATTCTTAGTTGTCTCACATAAAGTTCAAGACTGATGATGAATTTAACATTTGACAACATGAACTTATTTGCAGTTGGTAGATGAGACAGGAGAATGTGTTGTTAAATCAGGCTTTAGTTATTTGCTCCCAGCTTATTGACATTATCAGAAGACTTTGATGTTTACGTATACACAGATCTGTGATCATTCTTTAAGAATCCAGCTGTCACTCATTCCAATGTTAGCAAAATTAGACGTTATTACAATTAGTCTGAGAATTCAAGAGTGTTACCTAGTAAACAGCCACACCTGATGGGATCTATAGGTTTGTGTTGTGATGATATAACCAAACTTCCCCATTCACGATAATGGACAGACTGGTTGCCGATTAAGTACGACCACAGCGGACAGTCAAGAGGTCTTCGTTTGTTAATACCTATTGAGGTTAGCATACTCCCGACTGTCTCTGTATTTTGACATACCTACATCCGATTATAAAATTATTATTGAAAACCAACACTCGGGTTTACTTTGTTTATTATATCTTGCACGAGATATAACAGCTTGCCAAACTCCATTTTAGAATGGTTTGTTTAACAGTATATTAACTCCTTATAAGTCATTTAATGCCAAAATTTAATTTTCTTGGGAATTTGAGTAATTTTTTCTTTTTACAAAAAACTGTTGCTGGTAATTTTTTTTTTTTTTTTAAATCTATTGCTTGTATTTTGATTAGACTGAGGGTAAAAAGATTTTTTTTTTTTACCTTTCCTTTCTGCTGCCTTTTTTTTTCAAGGCCTCTCAATTGCAGTATCCTTGTTAATTTCACTCAAAGTTGTTCTCTGTTGCCATAGCAGGATATGACAACACAATTATGAAATAAAAACACTATTCTTCAGGGATCAGAGTCACCTTCAATGGCAGGATAAACATTTTGCACAGCAAATGAACTCACATACAGAGTGATAAAGGTTAAATTAAGCTAATCTTAAGTATCTACAGCAGTGGTTGGCAAATAGGGATTATTTAAAATTTCTTGTTTAATAAAAGTGTAACAGGATTTTGCCTGAATAAATCGAATCTAAAATTCATAAATTTCGCACAACATGAAATTGATTTAAAAAAAAAAAAAAAAAAAAAAAAAAAACGTTTTTGCATTATCTTTTTTTTGTTTTTTTAATAGTTGCTGTTTTGTGGGATTTGTGTATCTTGCAGACTGTACCATAGTAGTAGCACGTTTTTCAGGTTTAATAAAGGGTCAGTTTGTAAGACATAAAAATTCCCAGAAAACAACTATTAAAAGAGAAAAAAAGTAAGATAACGTAAAGAATTTTTACAATTAAAATATATTTTTATACTTTGTTTTTTGACCCCAGTTTAGGGGGTTCACTATTTGCTCATAGATGGGAACCTAACAGGTGCTACCACCTCGGGTCAGGCTGGACCTGGGGACAGCAGCAATTAAGATGTAGTTCCACACTCCTCAAAACCTCCCCATCAGATGTAGTTTATTGTCACACCCAGGATAGTTTTTAGAATGGTGAGTTGAGCATGACAAAATAGCACTTAAACATTTTACTCAAAGTTGTAAACAATTGTCAAAATCGTTTTTTTTTCTTTTTTTTCTTTTTAAATCAGGCAACCATATCACACACACACACACACACTTTATATTTCCTCCATTCATTTTTTCATCTCTCTTAAAAAGCCTGGGGTATATTCATGGGTCACAAATTTTTATAAAAGTTAAATCTCTGAAAGTAATTGACAGCTGTATGCAAGGCAAATTAAAAAATTAGCCAATCCCTGCAGTTATTTTTAAATGGAGTAAGGTATTTTACACAATAGGAGTTGAAAAATCAAGGACAATTTTAGAAGATTAGATCAAAATAATTGTCTTATAGTTACCCTATTCTGTCAACCAGATCCCATAAAATGTTGATATTTGGCATCATTGGTGAGCCATCATAGAGGACAATGGCAGAGCCAAGAGCAAGTGGTGTGACAAGCCAATTCCACATCATCCAACCAACCTGGAGAAAAAAAGTAAAGAAAGAAATTATATTGACAAATAAAAAGACTTTCAATGATATTTTATCATTGAACAAATTCATCAGACTTCATAAAAAAAAAACAAACAAAAGTCACTTCAACTATTTCTAGATTTGTAAATCATGAATGTTTTTGACTATCTTTGTACTTCATAGTTTACCAACACACCCGATATTATAGAACAGAGGTTCATTTTAAAATCTCCCTTAAGAAGTTTCAAAACATTCATTGAATTTTAACAACTTTTCTCAGAGTCTTGACAAAAAACTGGTCAACTGATCCAGGTAGAGTCAAATGGTCATTGTTAGTAGATTTATTTGCACATCTTGTCAGTATAAATAAGACATTGGTAATACTAAAATTTCCAAGTCACTATTTATTTCAATCAAAAATTGTGGCATACCAGTGATAAGAAATCCAGAAATGAATCCCCCCCCCCAAGAAATGATTGAATTTGTATTTTTTTCCCCAAAAAGTAATAAAATAAGATTAGCTTGATTGCGTTTTTTTTATTATTTTAATGCCATGTCCTTTCATTATGTAGTCGATCATGACGCTTCACAGTTTCCTTTTCTTTCGTAATACCATATCCCTTCTAGTCATGGGTGATTATACTTCTCCAGATTCCTTTCCATTATTATCTGTAAACTGCGATGTATCATTGGGAAAGAAAATTTGGAATTTAAAATTTTCCTTCTTGTAGACTAGTTGCCACCCAAGCCTAGTCTACTCTGCTATTTAATCCATAGCTTGGGGTTGGAAAGAAGTGACAGACTTGGGCCTTCCCCATGAGTATGTGTAAAAGTGAACACTACAACATTGGTCACAATTTAAACCTAGCTTACTAATTCCACTTTCTGTACTGATGATCACTTGTTTACACATGCACCCACATCCTCTTTTAGGTCAGGCTGTTAGCAGAATTTGAATTATATATATATATATATATATATATATATATATATATACACACACACAAAGAAAGATGTTCTAAAAGGTTCTTGGCTGAGCTACTTCCTAAAATATGTAAAAGAATCTGAATTTATGTACAAAGTCTATCAAAAAAGGAAGGACCAGTTATGAGAAATAAAAGATGGACAACAAAAAGAAAAGAAAAAAAATAGAAACTCACATTTGTATAATAAAACATAATATCATTTTCTGTCATATCACTTTGGAGGCAGTGTTCTTCTAAATGTTTCAGTAAAGTTCCCTAAAAATGCAAGAAAATTAGAAAAAGAATCAAAGACATTCAATTAAAGGCTCAAAAGAAATGCTTCAAATGCAAAACCAATTTTGCTAGCAACAATGGATATTCACACTCATGACACACTGACACAGATTAAAAAATTTAAAAAAGTAGCTATTATACTTCTATATATAAAATTCTATGACTTAGCTGGTCTGTCCATCACACTCTCTAAAATGGCCAAAAATTGATCAATCAAATTTTTGGGTAGAAGTGCAAAGTGAATGATACAACAGAACCAAGCCATTTTTATAAACATAACAAAAATTTATTAGGAATAAATAGGTAGATAAAAACATTTTCATACCCCAGCAGAATGAACAATACATTTTGGCGGTCCTGTTGTTCCAGACGAATATAGAATAAAAAGCGGATGGCTGAATGGAAGCTGTTCAAATTTCAGAATTGGGGTGTTTGCATTGTCACTAGATAATTTGGATTGAAGAAAATCTTCAAGAAGGCAACTGAAAAAACATAATGAAATGTATGACAGCATTTATTACAGGTAAGAAATCAATACCCAAGTACAAGAGGTTCAGTTGCCAATTTTATTGGGAAAAAAAAGTTAAATTACAAATATTTGGCTGACATATGCCAGCCGTAAGTGTTCAAAATCCTTGTAAGATTTTGTTTTCATTCCATCCTTAATAATGGATTAACATAAGGTATAAATGAATCCAAGAAAAAGCTGAAGAAAACTATTATATTGTTATCCACACAAAATTGGTAATCTAGCAAGATTTTCAAAGAAAAGCCAAAAAGATCAGGTATGTACAGCACAACAAAATTAACCTTTAAAACCAAATTCTCAATATTTTTAAATTCACTTAAGACTGCTTAAATCAACTGAAAGCAAAGATGTGTAAAATGTAAACCACAATTTTTTCTCTTATCACATTCAAGACTTTAGTTGAAAAAAAATTATCTCCATTTTATCTGTGCTAAATTAGGCTATATTGTTTCCATATTCAAGAGTGTCTTTCTGTTATATATAATATGGAATGTAGGGCTTGGGTACAGTTGGGTATAGTGTGTGTGTGTGTGTGTGTGAGGTGGGGGGGATTAATAATTGGCAGTGGGAGGGTCAGCAGAATTTGTAGAAACTGGCATTGAAATGAGAAAAAAAAAAAAATAAAAACAAAAAAAGAAGAGAAAAAACAAAAAAAGAAGAGAAAAAAATAAAAACAAAAAAAAGAAGAGAAAAAAAAAACCAAAAAAGAAGAGAAAAAAAATTAAAACCAAAAAGAGAAAAGAAAATTAAAACCAAAAAAAGAGGAGAAAAGAAAATTAAAACCAAAAAAAGAGGAGAAAAAAAATAAAAACAAAAAAAAAAAAATAAAAACAAAAAGAAAAAAAAAATAAAACAAAAAAGAGAAAAAAAAAAAACAAAAAAGAGAAAAAAATAAAAACAAAAAAGAGAAAAAATAAAAACAAAAAAAGAAAAGAAAAAAAAAAGAGAAAAATAAAACCAAAAAGAAAAAAAAATAAAAAAAAAAAAAAAAAAAAAAAAAAAAAAAAAAAAAAAAAAAAAAAAAAAAAAAAAAAAAAAAAAAAAAAAAAAAAAAAAAAAAAAAACAAAAAAAAAAAAAAAAAAAAAAAAAAAAAAAAAAGAAAAAAAACAAAAAAGAAAAAATAGAAAAAAAAGAAAAAAAATAAAACAAAAAAAAAAAAAGAAAAAAAAAAAAGAAAAAAAAAAAAAAAAAAAGAAAAAAAAAAAAAAAAAAAAAAAAAAATAAAAAAAAAGAAAAAAAAAAAAAAAATAAAAACAAAAAAAGAAAAGAAAAAATAAAAACAAAAAAAGAAAAAAATAAAAACAAAAAAAGAAAAAAAAAAAAACAAAAAAAAAAAAATAAAACAAAAAAGAAGAAAAAAAAAAAAAAAAAAGAAAAACAAAAAGAAAAAAAAAAAAAAAAAAAACAAAAAAAAAAAAAAACAAAAAAAGAGAAAAGGAAAAAAAGAGAAAAGAAAAAAAAAAAAAGGTCACTAAGATCAACTTTCATGTAGCAAATTCACAGAGGCACAAGTCTAAATAGCCACAAATCCACTTGTCCAAAAAAAAACCTATTGTTCACTGGTCACTGACTTGATAAAAAAAAGTTAATCCATAGCCAAACATCCGGGTGTGAAAAATTAAAAAATTAAAAAATACTTTAGGCGAAAAAAATCATGAAAACATTCTGAAAACAAAAGAAAAGTGGTAAAATTTTATTTTTATTTGCAAAAAAAGTATTTTATTTGAAATAAAAAAAAAAATTAATTTAAATGATCGGCCGAATAAAATAAAATCTGCCCATAATAAAAAATTTCAAATTGGTCAAGTGAACAAAAATGCTAGAAGATAATCAAATTGGGTTGAGCATGTGACCGAAAAAGGATCAAGACCAAAAAGAAAAAGAAAGAAAAATGTGACGGTTACACACCTGGCCCAGTGTCGGATCCTTTGGTTCAATAAAAACCCAAAAAGATGATCACCAGCCTCGCCTTTCCCGAAATACCTGGTCACTAAAAACTATAAAATCTCGGTCTGTCTACCCACGCTGTGTTTAGATCTTAAATACAAAGGGATCGGGGCCCGATACAAAAGTTGAGTCCGACGGGGTGGCAAAAAAAATAAAATAAAAACTCCGACACCAAACAAAATTGCTGATAAAAGGGTAACAACCTTTTATATCTTTTAAAGTCCGTTACATAAAAAAAAAGTGTTCTCATTTCCCGACCGCTCTGTGGACTATTTCTATCACAAATAGAAAATGTCACCTAAGAATCATGTATGTATGTCGGATGTGGTTCAAATTCACACTGGGGCTAATTTCTATCGATCATTCGCAGTTGATTCTTCTCTCAAAGTTGTATTTCTTCTTCTTCGTCTGCTTGGGCTGGTAGTTTTCCTGTTTCAACTTGGTGGAAGATTTCTTGTTTCAACTTAGCGCAACTCTCTGACGTCTGAGGTGGTCTCTTCTCACTGCCGTCCGGAGCTGAACTTTAACTTCTCATTCGACTTTCATAATCTGCAGCTCCAATTCTTCTCAGGCTTTCAGGCAATCTTCTTCTTCATCTACTTGGGCTGGAAGTTCTTCTTGTCTGAACATCCTGTTCCATGAACTTTAACTTCTCATCGACTTTTTTCTGCAGCTCCAATTTTCTCAGGCTTTCAGGCAATCTTCTTTTTCGTCTACTTGGGCTGGAAGTTCTCCTGTCTTCGAAATTGGAAAAAAGGTTCTTCTGCCCATAAAAAAATAGGCTCTATCCCCAGCCCAAAGGTCCAACTCTCAACTCCATGCAACTCCAACTGATTTCTGTCGAAGGGGTCCTGCTTTTATTGGCCTTAAGAAACAAACTTGGGTCTGTCAGCGATTTTTTTATTCAAAAGCAAATTCTGTCTTCTCCATTATCGCTATTGTTTATTTACAAAGAAACATCCATCTTTTATTCTCGTATGTCAGGTGACCGCTTTTCAAACCAATCGTTCCTGATCGAGGGTCATTTTGAAAATTGTTATTGATGTGCATTTCTTTCCTTTTCTTCCGCAGGTCCGTGATCGTATTAGGACCAATTGTTATTGATCGAACATTTCTTTTTTTCTTCCGCCAGGTCAAATGATTATTCGAGCCAATTGTTATTGATCAACATCCTCTTTCCTTTTTCTTCCGCGGGTCGTTTTTCGTAAAAAACCAATTGTTATTGATCTTTCCGCAATAAATTCGACCAATTGTTATTGATCGAACATCCTCTCCCCCTCTGTTTGCAATGGTTACATCATTCTTGTTTAAAAAAAAAATTTAAATCCAATTTGCCCTTTTTTTGCCATGGAAATGACAATCTTTGGCTTTCTCTCAAATGTCAAACAGCCCGCTGCTAATTAGTCTTGACTTTAGAAAGGATCTTTCCGCCTTCTTGGCGCCCTCTGTGAGCCAAAAGCAATTGTCCCTCTTTTTACCTCTTTGTTTTTCCTGATAGTCCAAAATCTTAATTATCTACATTGAAGTTTCTCTACTTTATTAAATTCTCTGTATTTCGTTCCACTGGTCCTCCCCTCAACCCAAGGACACTTCTTCTCTGATTAAGATTGTTTCATTGTTCCCAAAATTTCTCTTTATCCAATGAGCCTTTCCACGAAAAAAGTAAAGAAGTAAACCCGACATTCTTATCAAAATGACTTTTTTCTTTAATCTCTTTCTGACTCCTATCTCCACCTCAATTGGGTCATCAATCTCTTTCTTTCTTTTCTTCCCTTCCTTCCTTTTTCCTTTCTTTCCTTCTTCTTTCCTTAGGATCGTCTAGTACACTCTTAGTGAATTATTTTCAACTCAGTTCTTTCCGTTTTTTAAAAAAAAAATTAACAACCTGTTTAATAAACTGAGTAAGAAAAAAATAAATCATATTTCTAGGAATATTTCTTAATAATGCAAGGTTCAAAGAAAAAGAAAAGAATAAACCATTAACTATCTTTTGGAGATACATTTGGTTTTGAAAGGAACCACCTGTTTATGTCCAGACCTTGAGAAATGATAAAAAGTTTTACTTACCTGGACAGACTATTGGCAATAGAATATCTTTAAAGAACGTTAAACCAGACAAAGAAATTCAATTGACCACCCAGATAATCAATTTACTTTGATGAATCCCAGATGACATTCAGTTAAGATAGGGATTTAATGACCACAATTCTTGTCGTGGGAAAGTGATAAATTTTCCTGTCCGAAAACAAAGAAAATCCTTATTGTGAATTTGGAATTATCCAGGAACCCAAACCACGACAGGCCCCCGCCAAAGATTGGTCGGTGTGTCCATATAAAAAAATGTCCCCAGAGTAGTTGGTCAAGCAGTCTAAAGTTGGGCAGACGCATAACAGACAGAGTGACAAAGCAGACAGAGTTGAGCTGTGAGCTTGAGACCACCCTATACAGGAAATACACTGAAAGATTCAATATTCCGACTTAGACTCACTTCACCAAAACAAGTTTTATGAATATTGCCTAAAGACACCAAAAACCAGTTTATTGAAAAACAACTTAAGATATTAAGACTCGCCTAACAGGAAGATAATTTTTTTTCTTTGAGCAATAATTGTAAACAAAGTGTCACGTATCCATAGAAGCAGTTTGGGAGAAAGATGTAGTCCTGTATTCAGAAACCAGATATAAAGATACTTTTTATTCTTTTTTTTTTTTTAAACACATTTGAATCTTTTGAGTTGTTACTTTATTTTCTTTTACATATACTTGTCTTTGTCACCTTTGTTCGAATTAATGCACTATGGCAATTTCACACTGATTGATTTCTCTATCTAAGATCAAATCCAAACGTGGGTAGGTTAAACTAGTAATCAAATCAGTTATTTCGGTAACCAGACATTGGAGGCGAGCTGGGAACGACAAAGCTGATGCCGAATCTAACCAGATTTCCATCCGAATCAGCCAAGGGTTAGATCGTCACAGGATAGCACAGGAGAGGCCCAGGGTGACGTCACACAGGTCATTCCATTAATCCCTTTCTTTCATAAACAACAGATTGAGTCTGTCCCAGTTTTTATTTGTGGAATAGAGTCAATAGCAGATATTGGGGGGGTGGGGTAAATAAATTTCTTCTGCACATTACAGGGTTCGATGGATAAATTGTCATCTAAATTACACAAAAATGAAAATCACGCTGACATCTCATTTTAACAGATATATTTACCAAAATTACACAAAAATATCTTGAAATATGAAAAAGTAAATTTATTCAATAAAATCATCATTGCATCAACCATGATCTCTAGATGACTTTGGAATCTATTGCAACTCTTCTGGATGGTCTTCTTGGTGAATGCAGCCATAATCCTTGCCTTCAGTTCATCTTTGGAGTTTTGTTAGTGTCTTGCTCAACTGCACCCCATATATAATAATCAAGGTGGTTGCAGTCTAGGGAGTTAGTCAGCCAGATGTAAGGGGTGATGTGATTGCAGAAATTGTCTAACAGTGATGACTGGGTTCTCCTGCTTGTGTGGCATGGTGCAGAGTCCTGTTGACAGATATAGGGTCTTCCAGCAGTCACTCTCTTGACCCAGGGAAGCACTTGTAGAAACTAATAAAAACAAAACTTCGACACGACTTGGTCAGTGGGCACTTAAAATATTGAACCAATTCACTTGACTTCATTGGAACTCAACACAGCAAAGGAGACGAACTTTATCTTCAATACAACAACAAACTTTGTCAGCCATCTTCAGGCTTAACGCTCACTCCCACAAAATATTCCATTCCACAAGAAGAATCTCTGGTTAATGAGCGATAACTCTATAACAATCAGTGAGTCAAGAACAATACTTTTTTTCTATTTAATACACAAAAAAGACATCTGTTTAATTTTCCTATAAAAACAAATATAGCTAACTAAACCTTGTCATTTTCACACATACAGTACAGTAACTCAAATTCTTTCAGTAACACACACCAAAGAACTCTATTGTGTTTATCAACTTTTGCACTATATATTATATATTTGTTGTGTTTATAAAAAATATTTATTGCTGAACAAATTCACAATTTCTTCTACTTGATTATTTCTCTTGTTGTTGTCTTTGTTACATTTGATATTGTAAAAATTTTAGAGGGTCAGTTTTTATTTCTATTTATAACCAATACAAATTGGCTGACCCACTATACACTACCTCCTCAATATATAAAAAGAGTCAACAGGTTTTCTGTCTCTAGTTTTATCTGATGTTTTCTTTTGAAAATGGCAAAGGTTCAGGGCTGTTTAAATGTAGTTTTGAAGGTAAATAAATATATATTTTTTATACATCATTTATAAGGGATTTAAAATCAGCAGAAGATTATTTTTTAATAAGATTTTACCATATTTCAGTTATAAAATGGTATTACTGGGAAAAAAAATGATGATTAATTGAAAAAAATAACAGTGTTAACTTTTTGTTTTGATGCTAATAATAGTTAATAGTGTCTTTAAATTATATGAGTATGTATGTCAGTTACATTTATACCTACAGGCTAATAAAAAATATCACAAAAAAGTTTTTTTGTAAAAACTTGTCTTAATTTTTTTCATTCAGTCAGTTTTACATGATTTATGTAATTTCTTACAATACTGTGTCTTCGCGGCTCTGGGGTGAATTTTTATCATTTAAAAAAGTTCTTCACATACTTAAGAGATACCAAATAATATGTTCTCAAAAAAATTTTTGTTGCATGTGGAAAAATTTTGTCAGAGATTTGGTCGGTTTTGGCACGCATTCTCAAAAAGGTTTCCCACCCCTGACGTAACAATTACTTTACAATGAATAACAACATGTATGATTCCAAATTCTCTTCAGACAGTGAATTTCTTAACCTTGTCTTTATGATCTTTAGCTTTGAAAATGTCCTCTAACATTGGATTTTGAGTAACTGATAGTGTACAAATTTCTTATTCCTTTTTATTGCTAAAACAATTGTTTGTTTTTTTATTGCATTTTTATTTGATACTAGCAAGCTTTGCACACTTGCTATTGCTTCACAAAGTAAGGTATATTCACTACTTGAAATCTTTGAAACAAAAATTTTAAATGAACATTCATAAATTGGCTTGTTATAGTTGAGGAAAGTTTTACAAATAGATGCCAACTTGTTGAAGGCCAAGTAAAATACAAATTTCAAACACTTTCCTGCACTATATAAGATGATATTCCTAAACAGAACTATTTTTTATATTAAAATCAAAACAATCCTCGAATAAAAGAACAGCAATGAAGGACAGTTAATTAACAAAATAAACTTTTTAAAAATAAATATGCAAGTTAATTAAACCTGAAGAGTGATATTGTCTAGAAGTAGATAATATATAATACAGATATTGAGCTTCTCGCGTGAAAATTACTATAAAGTAGAGCTGGGGCTTTTTAATCTCAGAATTTGTGGGAGAATTGAGCTCCAATTTTGCATTTATTCATATCAATTCCATAATATAGGTTTTACTTAATTAGCTATTATGTTTCTCTACCTCTTCAAATGTTGAATGTATAAATAATTCTAATTTCTATTTTCCCATCTTTACACTGTATTAATTTTATCTTATAAATTGTCTCCTGTTCTGTCACCCATGAAATAAAAATAATTGTATGGAAAATAAGGATCTACATACATCAAATCACTTTTGAATTAAGTGGCAGCAGAAGAATTATCATTGAACTTTTAAAAGTTAAGCTTACATATTAATGCAATACTTAAATGCAGCAATCAATTTTGAGTTCTTCTGTAGTTTATTGATGCCTATCGCATATATTCCTTCCTTGCTATTGTGATGATGGCCAAACCAAGAGCTAGCTTAAAATTTTAACTTAGCTGCAATTTTGGATACAAAAGGAAAATAAGAATTACTTCCCTTGAAACATGAAAGCAATGATAATGGCTAGTATAATATATTAATATATACTTTTTTACCTTGCATAATCTGGCAACTCTGAATCTGCACTCAATGAAAATCATTCCCTGCGTCTAACATTTCTAGGACTTTTGGATGAGCTATAAATCATTGAAATCGGGTCAGTGGGAGCAGAGGAATTGCTTGGACACACTCACACATACACTGTACTTTATATATTTGATATAGGGGGGGCCCACTTGGCATTGGGCAATCTGACACCCTGGTCTGCCCATCACTAAATTAAAACATTTCAGAAGATTAAGAAAAATAAAACTATTCTTAGAATTTATTTTCATCTGACAACCATTGTGCTTAAAGGGTTTAATAGTTTTACAAAGAAAATTATGACTAACCAGTTTGGTATTTCTTCAAGTGGAATTGCTTCTTCAGGAATAAATGGGATAATAACAGTCTTTTGCAATTCTGGGAGACCTGCATGAAACAAAAATCTTATATGAGCAAAGAAGAATTTCTTTTTGAAGGATTTCTTACAAAAGCTAATTGATGATGACAAAAATCTTCAAAATAATTCTTGATTTTGATCTAATTGGATTAGTTTCAATTGTATTATTATCCATTTATCTACTCAGACCAGTTCTGGGGCAAGGGTCACATGCCTCCCCAACAAATCTATGATATCCCCCACTCTACTATATTTCCATTTTCATAAGGTAGTATTCATAGAAAACACATATTTTATTATAACTTAATTAGGTACAAAAATGTATCATCTGCAATATAGGTGAACAATTCAACTAGAAAAATTGAAAATAAACACAATGTATCTAAATACAAATTAGAGACATGTTATAATATGATCTATTATGATATGTCATCTTAAATAAATCAACAATGTTTTGCGGCAATTATTAACATCAATCTGAAATTTTTCTTGTTAAGAAGTTGAATAATTTAGCACATTCAATATTATGGACAAGAAATAGTGGATTTTATATAGGGTTTTCTTCGACACTTAGCATATGAAAAACCAATTTATGGATTTGGATGAAAAAAAAAAAAAAAAAGGACACAAAAAAAAAAACAAACCTAGAATGATGTCAAAATTTTCCATCCTTTAGTCATTAGTTGTGTTTAGTTTAATTTGTAACACATAAATGTAGGTAGAAAAAAAAGCAAATGTTGGTAAGATAGTGAGAGTCAAAGCACTGCTTGGGATCGCCAATCAGGCTCCCCTGACCCTGTCAGGAGGTTTGGGGGTAGTACGTGCCAGCAATGACTCAGATCATCAGTCTATAGCCATTAGTAAATAATCTACTAATGAAAAGCAATAGAAATTAAAATGAAAGAATGAAATCAAAAAGGAATAATGACAGTTGAATTGTGTTATAATAGTCTCATTCTGTCAGTAACATTAAGTTTCAAACCACTGATAATCCCTGTCTTCCAGATCCTTAATACACAATACAGGAACCCCTCGATTAGTGCAGCTAATGTGTACATCAGTAACTATAAAAAAACAGTTTCCAATTACTATGGTTAAACTGAAGAATGTTTTACTTCATTAATTGAGTATTATGTATGCACTAATCAAATTTTGGTATATAAAAATTTTAGCACATTAATTGAATGTGCATTAATCAAGGGATATCTGTATAAACTTCAAGTGCCCAAATTTGCTCATACAAATTTCAGGCGTCATGTAAATGTGAGTGCCCTCCTCTGATGGATTCCAGACGGGCGATGGATTGTGTAGATGTGAGTGCCCCTCTCCAGTGGATTCCAGACAGGCCATGAATCGTGTAGATGTGAGAACCCCTCTCCAATAGATTCCAGACAGGCCATGGATCATGTAGATGCAAGTGCCCCTCTCCAATGGATTCCAGATGGGACATGGCTTGTGTAAAAGCATGTGCCCCTCTTCAACGAATTCTAGATGGGTCTGCTTGCCCGTTATCTGAGGTAGTGTTATCTTTTTCTGATTGGCCTACTGATCACTGTCAAAATCCTTTTAAAATGACAGTCATCAAACTGTCATTTTTAAAGCTAGTAACTTCTTCCTAGATAAAGATTGGCATAACATCATTTTACTATTTTCTATAACATCTATAGCCTTGTGCCATACTAACACAAGTAAAAAGTACAGTTAATCTAAACTTATACAGAAGCTGAGATCTGAAGACCAATCATGATAGTAAAAAGAAATACTTTATAAAATATTTAGGTCTGATAATTGAAAAACGTTTGGCCAATTTCAATTTTTCTTTTCATTTCACATCCAGATAATCATTTTTCTCATGTTATTAACTTCTTCAACCCCAGCATGTCACCCACCCATACCAGAAATGTTTACACAAAACATTTACAATTAATAGTAATCAGTATGACAGAACAGATATCCCCTTTTTGGCAGTTTCGTTGAAGATGGCAGTTTTAACTCAAAATTGACTGATGGAGATGGTGTCCATTCTCTTTATCTTATGTTCATCCTACAGTCAAATTTTTCTTATAAACTAATTTTCAGTCAACTATAATCACAGGCTTTTTCAGTAAGCTATAAAGAGTAGCTTGTTTTTGTTTTTTTTTTTTGTATTTTAGCAACTCTAATTCTTGAATAAACTTTTCAGTTGAAGAATTTTCTTATTTTACTTAATATTTTGTTAAGGCTATAATCTGTGTAAATCATACAAATTTTAACAGAATAGCAACTCCAAATTTAAAAAAAACAAAAAAACAAAAGGAATTGAAACTTCAGCCAATTATGACCATTTCTAACTTCTTGGAACTTTCTTCATTTAAGGCTGATGAAATTCTGATGATTTACTTACCTTCAATAACTTTTTTCACTTTTTTTGTGTGATTGTGAATTTTGCCATTATAAAAGACTGCATTGACAGTAAACATCAGTTTTGGTTTGATTTGTGCAAATCTTTCCAGAACTGCCTGAAATAAGGAAAAAATATCAGAGAATTAATATATATATTAAAAAAAAAAAAAAAAAAAAAATCAATTTGGTATGTGCGTCCTTCAAACAGAAATCTGTGTTCAAAAAACAATTTTTATTTCTGTCCCATGCATTTCATTTTAATCTATCCAGGCATACTTTGGATAGTTTTTCCATAACTGAATTTTTTGTTGGGTGTGACTGCAGGGTATTGAGCAAATTTCCTAACATGCTCAATATAAGCTCAATGGGGTTTAAATCTGGTGGATATGGGGAACAAAGAAGTACATGAAAGTCAGCTGTGTGTTCCTGGAACCCAAGAATGCTATAGGGTGGGAGGATTCATCATCTTGCTGGAACAAACCATTACAAACAAGGGGAAACAAGGTTAATATAAAGCAGGGTGAAGGGGTTATATGCATGTCACTCAAATGAGACTCGGTTCGAGGTGGGAAGTTAGGCAGGGATTTTTCAGATGACTTAAGAGAAACGTTTAAGAATTTACGGACAAAATATTCAGCTTTATCAGCAGAAAATGTTAATACCTGAAATTTATTGAAGAGAGGAAGAATAGAGAACTTACTCTTATTTAGTACACAATTACAGAGCCGCCAGTAATCACGAGAGCCAAAGCTTTTAGATGCAATATGGTGCCTCATTCTCTCAGCAAACAGGAACTCAGCTCCTTTGAGAACTCATTTACATTTATTATGAGCAGAATCGAATAGGCTTCTGTTGTGATGAGAGCTGTCATGCTGGTATAGCCAAAAATAATACTTCCTGTGGGCTATGGCGACAAAGCACATGTGTGAACCATGGAGAAGATTGAAGTTTACCTGGTATTTCCAAGAAAGAATGAAAGTATCCAAACCGACTTTGACCCAAGAGGAAATCTCAGTGGCATCATTCTCAATTTGAAAGTTAAAAATGTCAGTCCAGGGGGTGTCTCAAAGAAAATCATGAAGTGTGTCCCAATCCCTGGTAACAGAATGAGATTTTATGAATAGGAGGTTCCTGATTAACAGATGACTGGAATGAAATATCAATAGATACTACAGAGTGATCAGAGTTTCCAAGAGGACAGTGTTGTGAAGCTCAACAAGAGCAAAGAGAGGAGGTGAGAACTAAATCAAGTAGAGAAGCCTGTTTGGATTTTCTAGAGAAACAGGTAGGGAAGTCTGATTTGAGTAAGGGATTGAACAATGGAAAAATTTTATGTTTGAATACCGGGAACATCAGTAACATTAGAAATGTTTAAGTGACATGTCATGCTCATTAAAATCAACAAAGGCAAAGATGATCGTAGACAGATGGAAAGAGAGTGCCATTTCTATACTATCAGAGATTCTATAATGCAGTCCTGAGAAGAGCATCAATAAAGGGAAAAGAGAGTGTAATAATGAAAAGTGACAGGGGACTCGAGAAACAATTTCCTTGCAATTGAAAGATTATGCTGGATATAAACACCTAGGCCATGCATGTGAATGCCGGAATCTTTTCAGCAAAGGGGAAGATAACCTGGAACAGAGAATTAATTCATAGCTGTTGTAGAGTAGCTAGCACCCTTTCGGCACTTTACCAGATAACCTGGCTCATAGCCTTAGTCTACAATTAAGGACATCAACAGGTGATTAATAAATTGATACTAAGCTGAATAATATTCAGACTGATCTTACTTCGTTTGGCTATACAGCATTTGACCCTCCCCTATTCCTTGTAAGTTGTCTTGTTAATTGTTTTGCAACTTATTGTTCTGTGTTTTTGTATGTATCTGTTAGCACCGGATACTGGTGCTGATTAAATATATTAAGCACTCATTCTTCTCTGTGTATCATTCAGCTTGACAATACAACAGTAGCAATGCCAGAATATAAGTTTGTTTTACAAAGTGCAAGGATATCTGGTGACCGTTTGGTGAGAAAAGATTCTATACTGCTGAAGATGGAATGGATATCATGAACATTGGAGAAAGAGAGATTGACGAGTAGGTGTTTTTTTTTTGTTTACTGGTTTTCTCATATTTCATTTTGTTGGTCATGAGGAGATTTGTGTTGGGGAGAGAAGGAAGAGGCTGGCATAATTATCCGTCATTAATAGCAATACAAACCAGTCAGAGCTGGCGGCGAACAGAGCATAATATGGCCTCAGGTTTGCTAAGAAAACTTGGAAATTTTTTACTTTGACATGTTTTACCAATGAACCAGAAAAAGAATTCATTTCACAAAAACAAAATCTACATTACCAAGATCAAATAGGTTTTGTATTAAGAATTTAAATGCATGATTTTTCTATCATTTTAAAAATTGCATTTGAAATCTGTTTTCATTTTTACCCATTCATTAATATTGTTATTATTTACACTATTTACATCATCTGTCTCAATTTCTGACATGAGATATTGTAATTATTTACATTATTCACACAATAGATAATCTGATGGAGATGCTGACTTTCTGTACACAAAACAACACACTTGAAATGGGATCAGACATATATGGACAGGATGAAGGTTTAGCAATAGGCTCACCACTATCACCAGCAATGGCAAACATATATTTCAAAGAAATGGCGTTAGAATCCACATCACTGAAGCCAACCCTATGGCTAAGATATATAAATGACAACTTCTTACTCTGTCCAAACCAGGAAGAGTTCCAGTTACTACTGGACCATGTGAACTCAATAAGATCATCGATACAGTTCACAATGGAACAAGAAAACAACAACAAACTTACTTTCCTGGATGTACTAATATCCCGAACAGAGCATGAGTTCAAGAGGTCCATATACTGGAAGCCTACATTCACTGGACAATACCTCAACTTCAACTCCCACCACCTATACAGTGTAAAGAAAGGGATTGTCTGCTGTTTACAATACTGAGTAAAAGTCATAATTGGCGACCCATTGACATATGATCAAGAAATGGTCAGTATAAACAGTACCCTACAACTTAACAAGTACCCTGGGTACATAGCAGCAGCTCTGACAAAGTGGGATAGAAAGGTACAAGAGGATAACATCACTCAGTAAGTAAGACTGCAATAACATCATAAAGCTGTAACACAATGGGAAGTAGAAAAATCAGGCATAGCTGACCACATATAGAGGGAAAAGGGAGATCACTGCTCCCCTGTGGGATGAGGTTGAAATAATAGACAGAGAAAATCACTGGAAAATATGAAAACTTAAGGAATCAGCACATATGTTAGGCCACAAAAATCTCCTAAACTGGCCAAGCATAGAAATGAATACAATATGGGAACCAGTAATACAGAGTGCTAGAGAAAAACAATAATAACAACAAAAATTGCAATATGAGCTCTGGTTAAAAACAGTTACGAAGACATTAAATTTATAAGTCCCCAAAATTCATACACTGATGTTTTCACATGGCCCAATGGATAAATGCATTGGTTGAATCCAATGACTTGATCCAAACAGTTGTGAGTTCAATACCTGGCTACAACAAACTTGGAGAGTTGAGTTAAAGGGAGAAACTTCTGATGAATGGTGTCATTAACTCCTTTACCCAATCAAGCATTTATGGGACATGATGGAGAAGTCTATCTGCATGCAACATCCTGTCACTACAAATATCACAGGGTTGTGGACAGTTATTGTGATGACAGGGTTATCTCTCAAGAGGCCTTCTGAACACTTGTAGAATCAATATAACGTTGAACTGTTGCAATGCACTATGTTATAAGAGTTTCTACACAATGCTAGATGCCTATCCCATAACTTTTGGTGTGTGTGTGTGTGTGTGTGTGTGTGTGCACGTTTTGGGCAGCAAATAAATTCTCTTGATTGAAGGCAACAGTAATATTGAGAATTTTAAAACAATGTAAGTATTTTACATAGATTTTTCAAAATTAGAAATGTATTTGCCAATAATAACAAGAAAATAGCAAAAATACTACACTAGAAAAAACCCAAAAACAAACATTTATTCCTCAAGAAAAAAAACTTCGCTCCTTAAAAGATGGCCAAAGTGGTGTTATAAAATAAAATAAGACATATCTCGGCTGATTTGCAGGTAAATAAACTAAAATACTCAAGAGTGAAAGCCGGATGTGAACAGGACAAGGCCCTGTCACAAAATGACCATTATTGTCGTTTGCGCATTGGCCCAACGCATGAGTCCGGTCGAAAAATAAAATAATATTTTAAAGTGTTTCTATTTTTCGATCAATAAAAATGCTTCCCTCTGAATTATACTCGCGTCGTTTTTCGAGCCTATTAAGCCATAAATAACGCCATAAAAGGGGTCACACAAGGAAGTACTAGCAGTCAACAGGAGGCCAGGGAAGAGATCTGTCATGGTCAGTCTGGGCAGTTAGCAGGAGGAGCGCCACGCCAACCAGTGAGAACTACTATGAGAGATCAACCCAGATCGGCAGCCGGCTTATGAACTATACCACAAGGTAGCTGTCTCAAACCCACACATTCCTATTGAAATAAATCACGTAAATCTATTTCTGCTGTTGTCGTATTTCTTTCTTGCAACCATACGCTTGTCTATAACAGCGGGTAAAAGTATTTGCAGAAATAATGTTGCAAAATACATTTACAATGTTGAATCAGTAAAAATATTTGTTAAAAATTCTTCAATCAAATACTACAATGTAAATCAATACACAAACCTTATCCCCAAATTCAGGGGAAGTTGAGCTCCATATTGCACCAATACTGGCAGCAGCTAACATCGCTTCAACAGTTTCACAGCAGTTAGGCAAATAACCTTGAAATGAAAAGTAAATTTATGTCAAAGGCAGAAGAAATTGGTAGCCATTGGTTAAGAGTTACCTTTAAACATTCTACAATAAACCAATAAAGATAGTTTCAGACTGTAAAGTGTGAATTAATCTATTACCACAAACATTTCTGTCACTTTCAACTGAATTGTAGAAATGACAAAGATTTCTGTTAACTAGCCTCACAGACATTATTTATTTATATATATATATATATATATATATATATATATATATAGAGAGAGAGAGAGAGAGAGATCTATAAAAGGCAAGATGTGTGTGTGTGTGTGTAACGAATGCATGGCCGCAATTTTTGACAGATTTGCACCAAAATTTACATGCACATGCTCCAAGTTAGCGGGAAAGCCAAAACCAACATTGCATTTCCAAACTCCCATTGATAGTGGAAATAATCAATTTTTTCATGCTTCTACGTCAGTTTTCATGTAGTTTGCACCAATTTTGTACTGGCCAGAGTGAGAGCCTATAGCTGGCTGCCACGAAAAGGCAGGAAGATTCTATTGGCCAGCGTGAGAACCAACAGCTGACTGACACGAATGTTAACTAGCATGCTAAAAAAAAAAAAAAAAAAAAAAAAAAAAAATAGCTGCATTTGTCACAAGTGGGAAAAAATTTAAATCTGCATAGCACTTTACTCCAATTGGCTCATTAAACACTTAAACTCAACATTGATTCTGATTCCGCAGAACTGGGTTGGGTGTGAAAAAGTATATGTTGTTAACATTCTTTTTTCATTTGGTTTTTCCAGTTAAGAGTCCTTTTTTAAAGCTGATCGTTTTGTGTTCATTTTGTTTAGTTCTTTTTTTGTAACAGATTTAATGTTTAGTATAGAGCTTAGGAAAATTTTGCAGTGTGAGATAGGAAAGAAGTAAGGCATGTAGCAACATCAGCACGGCAAAGGGCACTCCTTTAAAGGCAAGGAAGGGCAAAAATATTTTAAGTCAAGTGATAGCGATTGCTGTATGAGTCGTACGATTTTTGAATCAAGCACGAGCAACGCCGGGCCATGCTGCTATATATATATATATATATATATATATATATATATATATATATATAGCGCATGTTCTATCCTTGTTAGATTCCAACAAAATTGAATATAAAATGAAAACATCCAACCATTTTGAATATCTTCAAAATTGATTGCATGGCTTGGAAGTCCCTGGGCAACTAATTCAAGGGGACTTTATTGTGCATGTATAAATGGCACCCACTTGTGTTGAAAATCAGTTAGCAACAAGATAGATGCCACCAGGTGAGCTCATCTACCACATGACTGTTTGATATTCTTCATGTATCAGGTAGAATTTTTGGTTAAAAAAAGAAGGAAAAAAATTGTATTCACCATCAGACCACACGACAGTGGTTTGTAAATGCAAAATCTGTTGTTTTAAATGGAAAGAAGGAGATTGAAGAGAATTTGACAAGGTGGATAATGGCAATCTCAAAGGACGACTTTGCAAACAGATTTGAAAATGAGAAAAGATTTTATAATAACTGTGTAAGGTCACAAGGTGAGTACTTTGAAGGGACAATATCACTATTGCCCTAGACAGGCTGTTTCCACATACTTAAATGGATTGATAGTTTCCAGACAAGCATTGTAAAAAAAAAAAAAAAAAAAAAAAAAAAAAAAAAAAGAAAAAGTTAATGCTTCAAAGTTACCAATGGGAGTAATGGCTAAGTTTTAAAATCCTTTGTTATATAACTATTCAGATATAAATGAGACAAAAATAGATTAAAAAAATATGGTGGTGGTGTAAATTAAAAAAAAAAAAAAAAATTATAAAATGTTAAAAGGTTCAACCAATGGGAGTAATGGCTAATTTTTAAAACCCTTTATTATATATATATATATATATATATATATATATAAACTATTCAGATATAAATGAGACAAAAATAGATTATGGTGGTAGTGGTGTAAATTAAAAAAAAAAAAAAAATTATAAAATGTCAAAAGGTTTAACGTAACTTACCCACAACCCTATCTCCCTGTGTGATGCCCAACTTTTTCATAGCATCTGCATACCAGGCAACATTAGACCGTAATTCCTGGAAAGTCCTCTGCTCAATTGTATTGCAGCCTTCTCCTGCAATGATAGAACATTTACTTAAAAAAAAACTTCATGCCCACCATTGTTATTAAACCAGTTCTGTTATACATGCCAAAATTATTATTCCCCACCCCCAATAATAAAGGTTATTTTTCAGTTTTCACCTGTATGTACAAACACAGCTTGTATTTCCTTTAAATACTGATTAACTTAGTGGTTCAGATATTCTTTTTTCTTTCCTTAGCTAAAGAAAATCTTAGAAATTTGTTAGTTTGCTTTAAAGCTAGGAACTCTCATATTAAATTGTATTTCACTCTGGTATTTTCTCAATTACTATCATCCATCTTTGTATATGAAACATGAGCCTTACACTGTCATTCACAACAGACTGTCCCTTAATGTTAGAGTGTTTTATATATATATATATATATGTGTGTGTGTGTGTCATTCAGCTCATTCCAACACATGCAGACCCAGGTGCAGTTGGTCTATCATGTGACACTTCATTTGGCTGGGAGATCATCTTGACTCAACCCCGCACTTGGCTTCTCTGATCTTAGGTGAGACCCATACTACATTGGCACAAATATATTGATGTCAATATTTACTTCATATCAGAATTTTTGAGAAGAGAAATTAATATTATTATGTGTCTTTGCATTCTAATTACTACACTCATCATTAGTTGCTATACTCATGTTTCGGCCATAATACTCTCTGGCCTTCTTCAGGTACCTGTTGTACTTTGTAACCTTCTCAGAATTTTGAGCGGAATCCTTTATTCAATCCATGGGAATAGATTGTTCTTACTGGATTTTTCATAATTAGGGGAGATAACTTCTATCAGTTAATACTCATCAGTCTGTCTTTGTGTTGTTGCTTGTCTGTCTCTTCCAATGAAAATGAGTAGATGACTTTTTTTTCTTTTTTTTTAATAAATCACCACCTAATTTGGAGATTGGACTGCCAGGAAACCAGATATTTTTTTAACCTGCAATTTAATCCACTAAGCCATAAGAGGCTCCCACAGAGGAGGAGGATGTCAGAGACAAACATTTGTGCTGATCCTTTAACAAGGAAAGGAGACTCAAATATTCTATAAAACTTGAAATTTGGTTTAAGACTCTAAAATTGCACCACTGGATTGTCCAAGAGACACATGGCCTAGTGAATTAGAGTATTGGTTCCCTGACAGTTTTTGAGTTCAATCCATGTGTTAGGTGGCACTCCAAAAAAAAAAAAAAAAAAAAAAAAAAAAAAAGTGAAAATACTCTGGTTCAGTGGAAGAGTAACAATGGTTAAAGATTGCAGAATATTAACTGACACAAGGTGTCCCTTAAGCATGGAAAGTGTAATGAAAACAATCAACAACATTGAGTGAATAAAGGGTTTCTCTTCAAAGAACAGAACATCAGTTCAAAAAATGTTTAAAGAGGCTAAAAGGTACGACGACCAAAACAATGATGATTGTACGAGCTCAAATAGAGTCTACTGAAAATTTTCTGCCTATAAGTATTTTTTATTCACACCTATGCTAAAATTTTTAGGTAAAAAATTTTAAAAGCAGAACATCATATTTTTTTGTCTTTTAGCCTTTCATCAATTTGCAGATTAGTCTCTTTTTAAATCTGATTGTCAATAATAATTTTCTTCAAATCTTATACATGATATAACAAATATAAAAATTATTGCATCAGAATAGCATATTCCACATGATCCAGAAGCTATGTTAAAAATTAGTATAGCAGACTATCATTTTTTAGAGGAAATGTATGTTTGCTCCGACTTCCTGAGGTTGACCTTAGGAATCAGAGAGAAGACAAAATAAGGAAATCGTTTTTGATTGGATGAGCCAGCATGAACTGTCTGGAGATGCAGACGTGTTTTCTTTCATTTCTGAAATGGTTCGCCAGTGGAGGGTGGGGATGACCCCACTGGATAGTTAAGGAGATATATATGTTGATGTTAATAAAATAGCTAAGTTAAAATTCCCTGTGTTGAAGTTCTTTTATCTCTGGACTCAAAACAACTAGTGATCACCAGCTGTGAAAGAAGAATGCAACTTGATTATTTGGAATTGATGCCGTCACTCAAGACCACCCCCACCAACAGGCTATGCAAGAAATGCTCAATTTGGTGCGGTGACCAAGAGCTTCCCAACATGAGGGGACTATGCAACATTGTATTAATTTGGTGCAGTGTCCAGGACCTCCCAGTATCTTTGTTGATGCTTCATCTCTGAACCCAAAAACATTTTGCTGCTCAGCCAGGAGAAGGAGAGAGAATACAACAGATGGATTTGCTAAACTATGTCTTAAATAAAGATGAACATATCATCTACACACAGGTATAAATTCCGTTTACCCCATTTTTGAGCCACTCACCAATAATACATTAAGTACACATTCATGCATTACATGTGTATTAGATACAATGAGAATTCACTCAATCGTTTTTTTTTGTTTTTTTTTAAACCACTTCCTATCATCATGCAAAAACAGCCGAGAGATTGGCAGAATGAAGCGACCAAGGTTCATGGTTCAATCTTTTCCAACACCAAAACTAAATAGTGACTTGAGTGTAAAACTTTTTTTTTTTTTTAAATAATTATCAAGGCTACATTATCAATATTAAGGCATCTATCAACAGACTTCATAGAGAGTGTTGTAGCATACCCACAGATGATAAACGGTATGTCACCATTCACATAAAATACAGTAGTAAATACTGTATGTTGGTCTGCAGTTGGAGATTCATTGTGGAATTCACTTGACTCATTTCTAGCAGTTGACTACTATTTCTATGTGCAGCTGGTGATTCTTATATGTGTTGTTCTTGTCCTAAGTATTATTGCTCATTACCAACCTTTGTCTGATTATTCTATTCAGTAACCTTCCCTAGGTTACAACTGAGAGTAAAAGATATTGGCTATTTAGAGTTGGAATTTGCTCATCCCATGCTGTTGAAGCTAGGAGAGTGATAGGCATAGCAAAATGACAGTTATGGAAGAAAAATGAAGAATAAATGGTTATCATTGCCATAACAGTGTTACTATGCATTTTTGATTTTTTGCTATATTCATCATTTGAGTGGTAATCAATGGTCAAATGCACCTTATGACAAAAAACAAGTAAAAAGATTTTTGTCTTCAGCCCACATACAACCAAATATATTTACAAAAAAGTCCTACATAATTATTTTTTTTAATGAAAATGGGTTTATCTTATGTTGTTTTGGTTAATTTTAAATGAATCTGACCATCAGATCCAGACATTGGAAACGAGTGAATTGACTCTAAGGAGAAAGTTCAATGATTGGCAGTTGAACCTGGTTGCAAGTTTACAAAATGGATGCAATTCTAGTTGTTCTACAGTCTATGACATTCACTGGGTCACATTACATGCAAAATTTCATCTGATTCATTTCTGCATTTTCAGAGTACATAATGTCCTAACAGACATGAAAAATTATACATTAAGGTCACCTTACAATCAATAACTAAGTTTCAATCACATCACTTAAAATGATAATTATAAAAAGGCCATCAAAAATTTAATTGTAGAAGCAAAGAACTATGCTTTTGTTTTAAGAGTTAACTTATTTAAAAAAAATTGTCTTTTTTTTTTAAAAACATTTAACACACTCACTGCTGTATTGTTGCCTGGCTGTGTTGACTTATTTTGTTTGCGATCAGATCATCTGCAGTACAAACTAAACAATACACTTAATAAAGTGAAGTCATGAAACAGATTGCATGCTATCCAGTGTCTAAGGTGCTTTAGAAATAGAACTAAGTGCACCATGTTAATTTATAACACAAATGCCAGGGACTGACATTTGAAAATGTTACACATTACCAGAAATAAACTGCTTCTTAATGCTGGAGTGAGTGTTTGTAAATATATAATTAATACAAAGTTTGTTATTTAGCTGATTGATTCTACCTTCAGCATCTTGACTTCAGAGTTTTGTAAACAGACCTTCTGGGAATCACTCATCAGAGGGTATCAGCAATTGACTTTTTTATTTTTTTTATACGCACTTTTTAGTGCATGTATTCATTTGTGTGTCTATGTGCCTATACACTCACTTAATCTCTTTTTTGTACTTTTGTTTCAATTGTAGCCATTTTGACTTCCAGTTTTCTAGACATATCCTGTAGTCATTCATGCAGCTCATTCCCACACTTGCAGATCCAGTTTGTCTATCATGTGACACTTCTTTTTTTTTCTTCTTACACTATTGTTCATCCAATACAAAGCCCAAGGGCCACTCAAAGTAAAGGGGTACTGAATGTGGTTGTTGTATGAATACAAGGAGGAGATAAGAAATGCAGATTGTGAGAATATGTAGGATATGTAACAGTGGCCCCTAGATTTGAAGAGGTTAAGATTGTAGCAATCAGGGGAAGCATCCTCTTGGGAGACTGTTCAACAAAGTAATAGTTCTGGAGCAGAAGATGCCCAGATTGAACTTCCTTCTCATCAATGGACTACAAAGGGAATGATGAGGATTTGTCCCAGTTAATGTGGCATGGCGAGTCTTAACTGTGATGCTCAGAACTGGTGGAACAAAGAAATGGACTTCACCTGAACATGGAAATATTGATGGAAGTTCTATAAAGACATATTCCATGGAAATATCAATCAAATGTCAGGATGTCAAGGATAAGTGGTCAAGAATTTATAAAAAAATTACAAAGTAACACAGAGAAGGATTTCTGAATTTATCAGTAAAATACATAGAAGCCAAAGATAAATGCTTACTTGTGGCATAAATTGCAACTCTGTTGTCTTCACACCGCAGCAAATTCTCTGCAAAATTAAGTCTTGCCCCAAAAAACCATGTTGGAATGTCTGCAATATTCAACTCTTTGTCAATGACCTAAAAACAGAGAATATTTTATGCTGTGATCATTACCATTCTTTGTACAGATCTCAATGCCTACCTGTGCTATCAACATTTCAGGATCCACAGAGAAAAAGACAAGCACAACTGATTTAAGAAACCAAAGTTCATCATGAGAAGACGTTAAAGAAACCAAAGTTCAATTATTTTGTGAATCAGCATGAAAAACATCTCACAACAATTCTGCAATAATCAATTGAAATAAAATTCAGGACTATTTTAATAGAGAAACCAAGTATCTGTCTATGTTTCTGAGATGAGGTATCATGTACATTATTTACATTATTCGGACTATTGTCCTCATCTTTGTCGCAATATTTATTACAATGTTTCGGCTGTTGTACACTCTGGACTTCTTCAGGTGGTTGGAATGCCGAACTGAACCCTTTATTTCGCTCACTGGGGTAGACTGTTCTAGTTCCACGTGCCATGTTTAATAGATGTCGGTTATCAGTTATCTCCTGTTAATTTTCCCTCTGAAAGTTCTCTGGGTATTGAGCTCACACCCTTTGGGTCCTGTCACTGGATCTAACTAATGCCTTTTTTCCACTGTGTCATGTGTCCTTGAGTTAAGGCAGTGGAGAATATGGCCCCCTCTTGCTCTGTCATGAAATGTATGACTTATAGTACGCCAGTATTGTCAATCAGAGTATGTAAAGTACACACCTAAGAAATGCCATTTCATGTTTTACCAAAAGATGGTAGCAGCACTGTGTGGCCACTCTCTGGCGGTGTGACTCTGACCTTGACATCTTCCAGCCAATTTCTATACTGCAGTCCAGATCTCTGTATCACCCTTCACATTAGTGTGGGTAAGTTATTTGTTTTGGTCATCTCAGATGAATTCTAAAATTTTAGTGAATTAAGTTTGTTTTGTATTGGTCAAAATCAGTTTGGAAACTTGGACTTGCGTCACTTTGTTTTCTAAGATGAATATTGGTGTTATGTTCATATTCATATGTTTTTAACTAAAAAATTGACAAACAACATTAATTACCAACAATATGTAATGTTTAAGATTAATCTGAGATATATTATAGCTTCCTGGAAGTTCTTTTTTTCTCAGACATATTTTACTTCATCTTATATTGGCTTCAGATATGACGGGCTGTTTAAATTTGTCATCCATGTAAAGAAATGAAAATATGCCATTTGCGATAAAATTTTAATAAGATAGTTCATTTGCATTTAATTTTAATGGTTCAAAAAATGTCAAGCAGAATGGTTGGCCCTCACACATATTCATGTCATCAAATCTGGCCCTATTTGAAAAAGTTTGGACACACCTGGTCTAAGTCTTAAAGAAGATAATTCTTTTATCAAATCATAGACTGGTGCTGCAGAATCATAAACAAATGGCTTAAACAAATAATAAAAAAAAAACACATCACATGAAGACTTTCAACAGCAACAGTACATTTAACTAGGATAGAAAATAAAGATATTGTCTTTCCACACAACCTTAAAAAGGTTTGAAATGAAACTCACCAATATTAGAAAATGTTAGTGAACTTGAGAAAAAAAAATTTTTTTTTGAAATAGTTTTAAGAATTTAAACCAACAAAAATACTATTTGGTCAGGGCTGACTCAAAGCCGGTGGTACCATCATGCCACCAATGTCATGTGTTTGGGATCTTTCAAAAAAAAAAAAAATTTTTAAAAAATTTAAAAAAAATGTAAAAATAAATAAGATGAAATAAAGAAAAAAAAAATAGTAAATGTAATTCTCGACAGCTATTAATTCTTTATCAGAGAGATTTGAACAGTTACAAAGTTTCAATATCACATGGGGAGTTTTAAATAACCGAAAAGATCTACCAGATAAAAATAAACTCAATGTAACATGTCAAGGTTTGGGGATCAGTTCAGGTACCAAGAAAATAGTGATATCAATGGATATAATCTCTTGACTGAACTGAATATTGCAAAAGAATTATTTCCTGAAGATGTAAAGCTGCTAATAGAAGTCTTTTGGTTCATAAACACTAATAAGTTACAAGATGTCATGCCAAATCTGTTGGTTGCATTGAGAATAATGCTTACTATACACATTACTGTGGCCCCTGGAGAGGGAAACGTTTAGAAAAAACATATTTGCAGTCATCTATGACTCAAGACAGATTAAATTCTTTGGCTATTTTGTTAGCAGAAAATGATCTTGTAAAGAAGATAGGTACAGAAAATGCCATGAAAAGATTTGCAGATCTAAAGGCTAGAAAAAAAGACATGTTTTAGGTAGGATAACAAAGATTTTCTTTAGATTCTACTAAGTTGCATATTGTAATAATCTTGTTATTCAACATTTTCAGTTTTTCTCCTGGTAAAAATTTAAAAAAAAAAAAAATATATATATATATATATACCTAGTGAGCCAGACAAACCTACCTAGGTTTCACCTAAACGGATCGTCATGGGAAATATTAAAAAAATGCCAAAAATATAAAGCAGGCCATAAATTTTGCAAATTATGTGCTGAGGAGAAATTAGCCATAGCTTTATATGATCGACCTAACCAGCTATTGAACTCTAAAACTGAAATTCTCAATGTATGTAGACATAAAAAATCATGGCTACTAAATTAGACGTTTTCCCGTTATTGACTTTCCACTGAGGATTTTTTTTTTTTGTTGAATAAATATTTAATCCCCCCCCCCACTTAGGTTGTTTGTTTTTTTTGTTTTTTGTCACGTGGTATGATTTTAGCTATCACCTATAAATATGTGTTTCTCTTTGCCTCATTAGCCAAGCTTTCCCTGACGATCCGTTTAGGTGAAACCTAGGTAGGTTTGTCTGGCTCACTAGGTGTATCTAGGTCTGCTCTACGATTGTATTGAGCTCTTTTGTTAGTTAGTTAGTTGTTACTCGTATCGGGGTTTTTTCTTTGGGCTTCAGACCTGCATCTGTGCGATTTTTTGTCGGCAGAAGTTCATGTTTGTAGCTCTTTCTTTTTTAAAACCTTTTTTTCCTCGAAATTGATTTGATTAACAAATCAAAAATTCGAGGGTTTTTCGAAACGAGTCTAGTTATCTATATTTATATATATATATATATCATATGTGTAAGGGCACCAAAGTTCAGTTTGATGGGGGGTGACAGCAACCTTGGGTTGGTTCTGTATTTGGTCAATGAATGCCAGAGGTTTCCTGTATGGAAGCAGCTAATTTCACCATTACTATAAGCAGGAATGTTTAAAAGATTCAGAATAAAAATAGGTAGTCATTAAAATGAAACAATACTGGGCAGATCATTGTCTTCATGTAGCCAGCATGAGATTTTAATGTTTCATCACTTCCTGTAATCTCTTATTAAAATGAATGACCTAAATCATAAAAATTAGTGGCAGGTCTAAAGAGAGCAGAAAATGAGAAAATAGTCAGAGGAAATGTCATGAATATGATGCATTTCTTCATTATATAACAACTTCATATAACTCCTGTTTTTTTTAGGATTTCCTTTTGATACCTTTACATGTATTATATATTTTGATTACATACATACAAAAAATAAAAACATACAGATTTATATATTAATAATAATAATTTTCTAATAAACATCAGTATTGGTTATGCATTTTAGAGGGTCTTTATCTTGGGTTGACAGTTGTTCCGAATGTGACTTGTCCCAATCATCACTATCGACACTGCTAAAATGCATTACCCACCACATAACTGTGCTCACATCCATTGTATGGTTTCTGTAAATGTTCACTAAGTATTTATGAATGTCAATAGGTGGAGTTTTTTTTCCTTTTTTTCTGAATCCATAGAGGATTTTTTTTTTTTTTTTTAATGACAATTCTGTTTCATATGCACTTTCATGCCAGATGCCATTTTGCCAGGCTGCTATTTGTAAAAAGGCAAAAGCATGTGTTATTAGCATCTCTACTGCTACACCACCAATATCCACCTCTGATGTTGCAGGCAGATATGATTAAATAAGATGAAATTAATTTCAGAGCAAACCTGGCATAATTCATGAAAATGTTTTTCAATAGAAATATTGAGAATTTTTGTCTAAAATTGTTTATAAACAATATTCAACCTAAAACACAATAAAATTCTCAAGTCTTAGCAAAAACTAGCATGTACAATGAAAATACAGCATTTACAAAAAAGAAATTGATTCAAGACTGGTACAAGGCCATGAAGAGAACATATCACTAAAAACGAATCTACTTACAATGGCTTGCTTGACCTGAATGCTTTTTAATGAATAACAGATGGGCAGTCAAGATTTATGCAAGTCATTTACTGTCGAAATTTTGGGAAATCAAACTAGGGTTATGGTGAAAAGTTATAAAAAAAAAAAAAACAAAAAAAAATGAATATCAACTCAAGTTAATTAAGGAGACAAAAATACCTGTTCATAACTTTGAGAATGAACAATTTCTGTAAAATGCCAAACTTCTTCCCAGAATTCACTGTAATTCTCACAAGACCAGGCATGAAAATCATTATAGGTTTCTGGAAAAAAAAAAAAAGAAAATTAATTAAATATATAAAAGTTTACATTCCTTGCTGAAAAAGTTCAGTTGTAATAATTTAAACAATTTAGCATCATTTTGTGCCAAAGACAAATATTTTAAATATCAATCTTATCTTATCTTATTTATTATAAAACGCAGATTGTGTGTGTGTGTGTGTGTGTGTCTGTAACGTTTATATGTTGGATCGAATTTCCTACATTTTTTAGCCGATTTCAACAAAACTTCACAGGACTACATAAAATTACCTTGTGGTGGTTCTAACGGGGCCGAAAATGGGAAAAACACAGTTGTTTTTTTAATAAAATCAATTTGAAAACACGATTAAGACACATCGTGAGAATGAAAGGGGGACAACTCACCCACGAAAATGTAAACAAAAGAGCATAGCATGATGAAAAAACGCTGAACTTGACGAAAACAAAATTTTATCGTCTAATGTTCATATTATTATTAAAGAGGAAAGATCAAAGTATTTTGGGGGTATTTTTTTTTACATTTTTAATCGTTCCTAGCATGTCTGAAATTTTCATTAAAAATATTGTTTTTTTTTGGTCAAAAAAAAGGACAGATAATCATTTTCAAACGTTTTTTTCGATTTGATAAAAAAGATTAAAATCTTACTTTGATATTCTTTTAAAAATCAATTATCATTTTTTCAAAACTGATTTTAATAAAAACAGAAATTATACTGTTTATTTAAAATATTTTGAACCAAGCTTAACTTAGCTTAGCTTCTGCGCTGAAAAAATGTAATTTGAAAATAAAACAAAGCAGGTCATAACCTTTCGCATCACTTGACGATAGGCACATTCATGACGTTTAGAGAACTTACAGGAGGAGAATTCTTTCTATGGATGGTAGGAAGTGAAATTATTTAAGTGAACAAATTATTTACCTTGTTACTTTTAAGGAAAACTTTCAGCGCTCTAATTTTTTTTTTTTTTTTTTTTTTTTTTTTTTTAGCTTTCATTTTTACGTTTACGATGCTTTATGGAAAATATAAAAGAAATTAAAAAATAAGACTGTTAATAGTGAGATTAAATTTCATAAGAAAAAGGTATCTAACTAATTTAGGTACCTTTCTTATGAAATTTTATCAGAAGTGTACATAAAAATACTATAATTTTATATACATTTATTACATTTTACTGTGTTATTTGTATTTCCATTCATTTTATTATTAATTTTGATATTTCATTTATGGAAAAATGTCATAACTGAGATTAATATAAAAATAAGATCATATAAATTAAATTAATATAAAAATAAGATTTAGCATCTTTCAGAATTTTATCTTCTTTTTAATATGTGAACAACATTTAGTATCTGCTCTGTCTTTATAGATTAACTTGCTTGGCTGAAATTCCCAGTTGAAACCTTTTCACTGATTTAAAAATTGTTTTTTTTTTTTTTTTTTTTAAATCAAATAAAAAAATATATATATATAAAAAACAAAGAGGAAGAGCTTAGCTACTAAAGAGAAGTGGGTGGTGATAAAACGAATTATTTTGTTTTTAGTTTTGTGGGAAAATGAAATCAAATAAATAAAATAAAGAATTAAAAAAATGAAGAAATACATTTTCTGCATTTTCTGATGATGCTAGTATAATAAAGGAACACACACTTTTAGAAAGGGCAGAACATTTCACTTTTCAAATGCAGAGAGTTTTGATAGTTTTTGCAGCTCCACTCATGAAGTAAGTTGGTTGTTTCAACTCTGTACAAAGCTGACTTGAGCTCGACCATTATAAGCATTCTTATCATTACATACCTTAACTTACTTCTTGAGCAGTAAAAGAAAACAGATATACCCAAGAGACATTGAAAACCATGTTTCCCTACAGTTTCTACTGTAAAAAAAAAATAGTTTGTAATAGAAACCAAAGTTATTATGCATTTCTATATTAATTGTTTATGTGAACATCCGTGCACACACACAAACACACCCACCCAATTAAGTGCCATACATGATACATACTTGGGCAATCATGTTTTTTTTTTTTTGATACATGACTGATGAGGCAGAAGATTTTTCCCGCAGTAGGTTGCCGTTTCTTTCTGTGGTAAACTGGTTGCTAACCAAAGCTAAAGAACCCAGTCTGTCCTGCTCCATCAGTCAACCATCTCTTCTACCCCCATATCTGGGGGTAGAAGAGATGGATTCATACCTTTTCCAAGGGTATTGTGAAAATAGTGAACCTGACTGGAATCTGAAATCTGCTCTCAGAGTTCTCATTCCAAGCTGATACTCATTACACCACAATGCACATCCCCCCGACACACTAACAACTTTTAAATTCTGTTGTTTTAGGGGTCAAAACAACTTGTTTTTCTTTCCTCTTCCACCGTGCTACGTTCGTTGATTTAGCCATGAAATTTCTTGATACTTGATGAAGCCTCTGACCAACTAATTTCTTATTGACTCATAGAGCCATTTTTCTACATACAATTCCATTTTTTTTTTTCACCATCCATTATAATTATTATGGGTTAGGTAGGTAGCATTCATTTCATCACAATTCTTTTACAAATTCCATATCTTTGGCAAACTAGATATTACTTATTCTTTCACTAAGAGAATACTGACTTTGCTATATTTATGATGCACTTAATCTTGAACATGAAATAAAATATCATCCCACCCAACCAAAACACACTAACTCCTGTCAAAATAAAGCCTGAGTGATACAGTTTCTCAGGAAAATTTACAAAAACATTTATGTCATAAGCTTTAGAGACCCACCAGACAAATGTTAATCATGTATATTTTAATATTTTCTATGGAGTCTTGCTTATAAGACAAGAAGATCAGTATATGATTGTCTGCTTGGATATTTGGCCCATAAATATTATAGACAAGTGTAACTATTCAGAGAGAACAACTACTACACATTGATCTGATGTAGGACAGGCAACTAGCAAGCAATACACTGATCCTAACCTGAAATCTATACATAAATAAGCCATCATTTTTGTTGGGTAGTCTGCTATTTGATAAATCATTCAATCTGCCATTTTTAAATGTCAGTCATTATCACAAATATTTATGAAACAAATGGAACAATTTCAAAGCACAGCCTGAGGAGATAAGTTTTTTTTTTTTCTTCTCTCAAGTTTTTATGTTTATGTTTTGTTTGACAAATTAGCAAACAAACCAATCTGTTTACAGGTCATCAAATGGTTTTCTCTCTTGCAAGAGGTTAATGCTGCTGATTTCTTGATCTTGATATATCTGCAATATTTTGATTTTGTGTTTGAAAAAAAAAAAAAAAAAAAAACTTATTTTCTTTGCCTATTAGCAGACAGTAATGTTACAAAATGCAGTTTCAAATTTTTATGTTTTATTTAAAGTAAAACTAAAATCAAGATGTCCAACTACTAAACTTTGATATTTTGATTTTGTCAAATTCAACTGTGCATAATAAACAGAAATCATTTTATTTTCTCTCTCTCGCTCTCAAAAAAACAAAAAACAAAAAAAAAACTGACTTGACAGTGGAATGTATTTTCGCTAAATTCCAAGATAATTGACATGAGGCAATTAACAAACACTGCAACCAAATAACCTCATAAATATGTATGGATAAATTTCAGATGCTGAAAACGTGACCAGCATATTTGAAAAATAAGGCTACAGCATATAAGTTACTTTTAGTGGACTGAATTGTTTGTTTATTTATACAAATACAATTGAAGATGACTTCATCTTCAACTAACGACACGGATGGTGTAGAGAAAGAGAATAAAATGTGATTAATTAAAAACCAATGAGGGTTTATTTAATTAAATTATACAAAGTTTACAATGAGTGAAAGATATTTTTTTTCTTTTTTTAAATGTTCAAGAGTGGACTAAAAATATTGAAAATCATCGTAAACAGACTAATACCCCAAGCAGAAGTAATTATTGCTTGATTTTGCTGTGGAAAAAACCACAAAAAACTGATATTCAATCACAGAGTTTTATATGAAAAATATTTGTAACACACACACAACCCCTCTACCATGTCTGTAGATTTCAAAAAAGTCTTTGACAAGGTGTGACACAAGGTATTGCAGGCAACAACGAAGAAACATATGAGTAAGAAGTTGCTTTATACTACTATCCAGCCGCTGATAAGGCAGACAATGCAATATTATTCCAGGGATTGAGAGGGAAATGGTTCCACACATCAGTCTGCGTATGCCAAGGCCATCTCCTGTCTCTTATGCTCTTTCACATCATGGTGTATCAGCATAGGAGTTTATGTAATGAGTTGGTCGGTCAACTTGAAACCCACTTCGCGAGTGGAGGTGGGCATGCGCGGGAACTGTGATTGGTAGCTGGCTTGTTGGTGTTTTGCATAGGTGAGTTACCAAGCTCTATGTAAAGGGCTGGAATGAGAAGGAGGGCAGTTTTTTTTCAGTCTCAGAAGTGGAGACTGTGTCCGTCGCTACGACATCAGGAGAGAAAGAGACGAAGTCATTTATTTTTTCATGACTCATTTCAACACAGTTTACAATGTCAAAAACCTTTGTTTTGCAGGACGACCTAGCTGGTCTAACTAAAAAAGAAATGAAACTCATTTATCTGGTAAAGAATCTGGATGCAACAACCTCCAAATATGGCATGAAGATTAATGGCAAAAAAAAACTCATGATGAACAATGAGAACTGGCTTTCAACCAAGATAAAAGTTGGTGGTTAGGAACTTAAATTAGTGAACCAATTCAAATATTTTGGCTTAAAGAACACCATGGTGCATCAGCATTGAAGATTGCAATGTCACAAGTCTTTGCATAAATGGTCTAGCTGACAAGGAAGAGGAACTTGTCAGTCTGGTGAATAACCTGGAATGAAACAACCTCCAGATATGGCATGGCGATTAATACTGAAAAATTTAAGCTCATGATGAACAATGAGAAAAGACTTTCAACCAAGATAAAAGTCAGTGGTCAGGAACTTAAAAGTAGTGAGACAATTCAAATATCTTGTCTTG